GACGCTTTCTACTCGTACAATTCTTACCCTCGTACAGATATGATTCGTTTCTCATTGCTGGCGCCAAGAAGAACGACTTTTCGAACCTCATCCCACCATCCGAGCTACGATCGTCTTCTGACCCCACCCTCACCGTCTTCGCCCAACTGGCTGCGTCGCGCTTGGGGGTCTCGCGCGCCTTGATATCCCTCTTCGACACGAAGTATCAGTATATTGTCGCCGAAGCTACTCCCACGTTACCTTTGGTACCCAACGCCGCCTTCACCGATTCCGAGCATGGGGAGAACCTCTGGCTTTGCGGCACCGCCCTGCCCCGCGCCCAAGGCCTATGCGAATCTGTCCTCGTCGCCCTGCGCCCCGATGGGACTCCGATCAAGGTCGACAGCAGCCTGCCGGTGTCGGTTATAGCAGACATGGAGACCGATACTCGATCCTCGGGAAAGGTACATTACAAGAACTGGCCCCACCCTCGCTTTTACGCAGGCGTTCCCATCAAGTCGCGCAGAGGTGTCAGCATCGGCGTGTTTTCCGTCTGGTCAGATGAGCCACGCCAGGAATTCGACGCCACGTCCCAGGAGCTTCTCAGGGGCCTGTCAAGAACAATCACCGACCATTTGGACTCGAGGCGGATAGGTGAAAGGCACAACAGGGCCGTCAGGATGCTCCGCGGCATGGGAAGCTTTGTCGAGGGTAAATCCACCATGTTCAGGCTTGGTACGCAAACCAAATCTTTCGCCAACGACACTTCCGCGGAGGGCGCCTTGAATCAGAACCAGCAGCAACTGCAAGACAAGCAAGAGGCGAGGGAGAGTCAGGATCGTACTTCTGATTCCCCTGCATCGTCACCCGGCGCCAGCCCAAGGCCGTCGCCCATCCCGAGACCATCTCCCACCCCGTCTCAGCAGACATCGGCGTCTGATGTTTCAGTCAAGAGCATAGCTTCTGGCAGGGTAGTGGCCAAAACGAACGAGGAGACACATTTGCATGGCGTGCGACACATCTTCTCAAAAGCCTCCAACATCATCCGCGAATCGATTCAGGTTGAGGGGGCACTATTTCTGGATGCTAGTATTGGTTCCTTTGCTGGTCTAGCCACCAACGCGGCTTCCTCGGGCAGTTTCAGCTCGTCTTCCAGCAGTGACGAAAGGGGTACTGGAAACTCGCCCCGGAATTCCACTTCTGGTGAACCTGAAGTCCCTTGTCGCATCCTTGGTCATTCCAACTCCATCTCATCCAGTATCGACCAGCAATCTGCTTCACGAGACCATCCTCTATTTTCTGAGCGGTTTCTCGCTAAGCTGTTGCACAGGTATCCTGAGGGGCGCATTCTCAATTTTGATGAGAACGGCTCTCTTCAGTCATCCGACTTCTCAGAAGAGGAAACGAAGAAACAGACTTCAACACCCGCAGAGGCCGCAGTCTCTGTCCAGGCCACGACGGAAAGAGCTCGCAAACGGAGAAAGAGGTTGCACTCTCGCAGAAACGAAGGCAAGATACTCATGAGCTTGTTCTCAGGGGCGCGCAGCGTTGCGTTGGTTCCTCTGTGGGACGCGCACAAGCAACGTTGGTTTTCCGGTGGGTTTGTCTACACCAAGACGCCCACTCGTGTCCTCACCATCGAAGGGGAGCTGAGCTATCTGCGTGCCTTTGGTACTGTCATCATGTCGGAGGTTGCGAGGTACAACGCTCTGATGGTGGACAAGGCAAAGTCGGACCTACTGAGCTCCATCTCCCACGAGCTTCGCTCACCACTGCATGGTATCCTACTCGGCGCGGAGCTGATGCAAGACACTGCTCTGGACGCCTTCCAAGGAGATGTTTTACACTCAGTAGAGACATGTGGACGGACCTTGCTCGACACTTTGGACCATTTGCTAGATTATAGCAAACTGGGCAACTTTCTTCGACCCACGAGCGGACGGCGTAGTAGCGCGACCGGCGTGGAAGATCGGGGCCTTCGCAGCAATGACAAACAGCTCACGATAGAAGCTGGAATGATCAGTCTGACCAAAAATTGTAACATCGATGTACTGGCAGAAGAGGTTCGTGCTTCACCCAACCCTCGTGACACATAGCATCATCTAATCGCCGCAGGTCATCGAGAGCATGTGCGTCGGCTTCAGTTTCCAACGATTTGCCGTTTCCCGATTAGCCGGTAATCGTCCATCTGAGCATGCGGACACCAATATCCTCAGTAGACTCGATGGCATGCAGGCTCTGGAAAACATGGCCTCGAAAGACGACAAGACTGGAGATGCGCATCTTTTGCTTGGAGACGTGTCAGTAACGTACGACGTTAACCCTGCCTCGTCGTGGCGCTTCCATACCCAGCCTGGTGCGCTACGCAGAGTGAGTTATTCGTCTTTCACTTCCCGGAATGCTATTGCTGATGATGCATACCAGATTTTGCTCAATATTCTCGGAAACTCACTCAAGTACACATCGAAAGGCTACGTGAACGTCAGCGTGAAACAAGTCGATTCTGACCAGCCGAGGTGTCGAGAAGTCCATATCACCGTCGCCGACACAGGGAAGGGCATGACGGAGGACTATGTCCGCTACCACTTTGCCGCCCCGTTTTACCAGGAAGACAACCTCTCTGCGGGTACGGGTCTTGGATTGAGCCTTGTCAAAGAAGTAGTCACCCGGCTGGGAGGGTCGATCGAGGTTCAGAGCAAGCTCGGACGAGGCACCAGAGTCACCGTGAAGCTGCCATTGGCGGAGGCCGAGCCGCCGTCGCCAAAGACGAGCATTCCGAAGGCGATCAACTTCGACGACTTCAGAGCCCAGGTCAGCGAGCTGAAAGGACTTCGAGTGCGCTTGCTTGGCTTCCAGGCGGACACCGGCTACGGCGCCAACGACGAGCTATCTGCGGGCATTCTGAGCGAAGGCACGCTTATAGAAAATATGTGCCGCGATTGGCTGCAGATGCACATCATCAATGACTCTTCGCAGCAAAAGCTCATCCCCGACCTTGTATTGGCAACGGAACGAAACCTCGACCGTCTCCTTTTCGAGCGGCGACAGGGGGTAGTGTCTACGCCGGTGGTATTTGTGTGCCGCAACGCCTTGATTGCGAGGCAGTTGGCGACTTCCCCCAGGTTCACAGGCCGACGCGTCGTTTTCGAGTTCGTATCTCAACCGTGAGTTTACATGCCCTGATTTGCTGCTTCGGACGTACTGACAACATTACAGAATCGGGCCAAGGAAGTTGGCTCGAATCCTATTGCTTAGCTTCAGAAGATGGACCAAGATGCAAGCCTCGGTGATTCCGACGCCAACGGCCCTTTCGCTGGCTAGCATCGAATACTCACAGCTCGCCAACGCCGATACGTCGCCACCAGACCCACGCACAACGTCAGCACGTAGCAACGAGACTTTTGTCGACAGAACCGAGTATTTCGATGCGGTCGACACACCAACAGAAGGAACGGATGGAGAGATACAGGAAGACGAAGGCGCAAGCGCTAGCACGAAGACCTTGGTAGATCGGTCCGTCAATCGGTCTTCCACCCCGACACCCCGCGAGCCTGAACCCGTCAAGTCTCCCGAAGAGGATAACTCGGACCTGTTCCTGCTCGTCGACGACAACCCGCTCAACGTCCGCATTCTCGAGTCGTACATGAAGAAGCTCGGCCACAAGTACACGACGGCCACGGACGGGAAACAGGCCGTCGACGCTTTTAAGAGCAGCGCGGGCCGGTACAAGTGCATCTTCATGGACATATCCATGCCCGTCATGGACGGCTTCGAGGCGACGCGCGAGATACGCGTGTTCGAGACCAAGGAGAACCTGCCGCGGTGCCAGGTCTTCGCGCTCACGGGGTTGGCGTCGGCGAGCGCGCAGGAGGAGGCCTTCGCCAGCGGCATCGATCTGTTCTTGACCAAGCCGGTGAAGCTGAAGGAGCTGAGCAAGATATTGGAGACTAGGGATCTTGCCTGACCGGGGACGCGTTTCAAAAAGAAAAGAAGGACTTATAAGTGAGCGAACGGAGCGGGCGGATCTTGCTGGCAGATACCCACGTGGTCAGCAGTATGACATGGCGGTTGTTTTCAGAGTTGGAACTTATGACGAACACACGAACAGAGGAGAATCGAATATAACTTATGTCGGGCGGGTGACTAGTGGTGTTAAGATGCCTGACCCTTTTCGTGCAGCGAGAGAGAAGCTGAATATCGGGCGTTGGAACTGCTGTCCCATCCCGCCCAATACAGCACATTTATCACGCCACATCCAAGATTCAACAACATAAATGAACCAATTATGAATATTTCTATTAGTCTAAACGCTCCGCGTTTGAATTTCACTTCCCCCACCCCTGAACCAACCCCACAAACTTGTCCACCTCCCCGGCCTCCGTCGCCCACGTCGTGAGCAACCTCACGACGGCCTCGTCGTCCCCCCTCTTCTCCCACACGTAAAACACGAAATGCTCCTGCAGCATCTTGATCAGCCCCAGCGGCAGTACCGCGAACACCTGGTTCGTCTCCGTCACCGCGTACACGCCGAACCCGGCCGCCGCGATCCCGCCCGACAACGTCGCCGCGCACAGGTTCGCCTGCCGCGCGAGGTCAAAATACAAATCCTCGCGGAACAGCTCCGCGAACTGCGCGCCCATGATCCGGCTCTTGGCCAGCAGCGACCCGTGCTGCTTGACGTAGAACTCGAACTCCCCCGCGAGCCGCGCGTCCTTGACGACCACGGCCTCGCCGAGGAGCGCCCCGTTCTTGGTGCCCCCGATCCAGAAGATGTCCGTCAGCTCGAGCACGTCGCGCAGCGCCATGTCGTTGGCGGTGGAGGTCAGGGCGGTCCCGATGCGCGCGCCGTCGAGGAAGAGGAGGAGGTTGTTGGCCTCGCAGACGCGCTTGATCGCGCGCATCTCGGCGCGGGTGTAGACGGTCCCGATCTCGGTCGCGTCGGAGACGTAGACGAGGCGCGGCTTGGCCATGTGCGGGAAGTGCCAGTTGTCGTCGACCGCCCTCTGGATCGTTTCCGGAGTCAACTTGCCGTCGCGCGGGGCGACGTTGATGATCTTGTGCCCGCTGGCCTCGACGGCGCCCGTCTCGCGCGTGACGATGTGGCCGGAGCTCGCGGCGACGACGGCCTCGTGGGGGCGCAGGCAGGCGGCGATGGAGATTGCGTTGGCGGAGGTGCCGCTGGGGACGAAGAAGATGCCGACGGGCGAGGCGGGGTCGCCGAGGTGGCGGCGGATGTGGGCGCGGGCGAGGGCCGAGTAGGCGTCGCCGCCGTAGCCGGCCTCCTGGGTGTTGTTTGTCGAGATGATGGCCTTGAGGAGGGCGGGGTGGGCGCCTTCGGAGTAGTCGTCTAGGAAGCTGTAGCGGGGTGGCGGTGTTGCTGGGGCGGGGTACTGGGAGGGCATTTTGGCGGTTTGCGAGGGTGGTTTGAGGAGGTGAGAAGGTGTGTGAGATGTCTGGACATTGTGAGCTTGGATTTCTTTATGGGATTTGAGCTCGTGGTGGTTGAAGGGAGAGATGGTTATCGTCTGATGACATAAATCCGAGCGTTACTAAGTGGAACGTTAGTCAGTGCGGGAACCCGGTGGGTCGGTGCAGTCGGGAGCTCAACAAAACACACACTGACAGTAACCCCGGACGCTTGTCTCGAAACTCAAAATGCGCCATGTACGAGATGGGATAGACGGTTACTGGCGGGTTGGGAGGCGGATAATCTCGGCGGAATCGGACGGATGGCGGATCCCGGGGAATCTTGACCGCGCTTGGTGTTGACATGCGTTGAGGTGTCTCACGATACGGCTTGCGAGGAGGAGTAGGAGATGGTGTTGGCGGCGTCGAGGCTAAAGTCGATGAAGCTCTTGTACGTCTCGACCGTCGAGGAGTCGAGCGGTTTGGGGTAGGTCAGGACCTTTTGTGACTTTGGGCGGAGCGGGATGCCCGTCGCGGTGAGGTCGTTGGAGGAGTCGAACAGCTCGGGGTATTTCGCGTAGAATGCCGGGTCGATCTTGTAGTACCCGGCGCCCTTGTCCATGTTCAACTTCTTAAAGGCCGCTCTGGCGTGCGGCGGCGACGAGAAGAGCGTCGTGACGTCCGGGGCCGGGAGGCTTGCCGGAGGCGCCTCGGGGTCCGACGACATCGCCGTGATCAAGTCCGTGACGCGGACGTAGATGGTGATCTGGGGCGCGCCGAGGACGAGGTCGGACATGGTGGTCTCGACGACGTAACCCGTCACGGCGTCGCAGAAGATCTGGTCGATGTGGGGGTTGGCGGCGTGCAGCTGGATGAGGCGGTCGCGGATGGAGGGGAAGGGGATCCAGTCGATGACGCGGGGATGGGGGTGTCTGATCTGGGCGTCGGTCGGGCGGTAGCGCTGGTGAAGCTTCCGGAAGGTGGCCGCGGAGGGGTAGAGTTGCCAGGCGGTGAGCTCGATGATGTGGAAGAAGCGGGTTTTGGCGTACCACGCCATGACGTCGGGGCGGGTGATGCTGTTGAACATGGAGAGGACCATGAGGACGGGTTGGTAGATTCTGCAGTAGGTCAGTATTTGGAGATGATGAGGGTCGAGTAGGGAGTGACGGACCCTTGCATGGAGGGCTGGCCTTCGGGGGTGAAGCCGGATGCTGCGAGCTTGGTCTTGAGGAGGCGCTGGAGGAGGAGGATGTGGTCGGAGAATGGGGAGTTTGATAACGTTAAGTCGTTCTTGCGGATGATGTTTGAGTTTTGTGTAGCGTTCATCGCGGCCTGATATGGTTCTACGCCGGTCTGGTACTCGAAGCTCCAGATGTTGGGGATCTGGGTGTAGAGAGGGTTTGTGCCGGCGACGTTGACGAGCTCTGCTGAGGTGATTGTGTCGTCGAACGGGGCTTCATCGTGTCAGTATATCATCTCTGAGCCATAGCTTATCCCTTGACGTACCTTGTTCAACTTGCTGAGGAAGACTGGTATCGAATTCGAGAATCGACGTGTCGAATGGTTCCAGGTCCATAGGCGGTACGTGCAGGTCCGACTTCTGGCCCAGCATATCGAACGACAGGTCATCTTCCATAACGGTCTCCTGCTGATCATCCTTGTGGTCCGATGCGGTATCACCGAGAGTCTTTGACACAGATTCCGTCAACCCGGTCATGTTCGCAACAAGCCGAGACAACTTGGCCTGGACCTCGACCAGCTGCGCCCGGAGCTGCTGATTCTCCTTCTGCAAAGCCTCCATGCGCTCATCATCCGACTTTTGGTCTGTGTTGACCCGGCTGCTGAGTTCTCTGATGCGCTCTGCCTGTCTGCGGCGGAAGGCCTGTTGAGATAGGCGGTTGCGGAGACGTCTGTTAAGCTTGGTTAGCTGTGCTAGGGATACAGAAAGCATCATTCGTGATTTGCTTACTTCCGCTCTTGTTCCGTCATTGAAGCATCCTTCACGTCGCCTTGTGTCGAATCAATGTGAGATGGCGGGTTACTTGCAGCTTTCCTCGGCATGTTGTCTGTTGGTTGAGAGCATCAAGCGGGTTGTTGATGGAGACGTGAAGCTTATCGCGATGATGAAATTGGGAAAAGTGCTGTTTCCTTAGTGGTCAATGGCACTGTGGGGTGATGGTGGGGAGGGGGGTCTGTGCCCGTGTTTCCGGACCCGCCTCCGATGCGAACCCGAGAACTCCGGATGGAGCTCCGGGATCGGCCCCAAGATACCCGGTCCTTCGTCGGGGGTCTCGTCATGTGCTTCAATCCGCGAAAGGCGCATTTTACTTTCCACGAAGAGCATCACAATTGGCCATTTGTTGTATTCATCCGACGATCCCACCGGTATGTGGCGGAGACCAAGATTACCGAAGACATCACCGCGGCAGTCATCCGCTGCGGCCCCGCCTCGTGGAGACGGCCAGCTCATCCCTGGTCGAAGTGGCTGTTGGGCGCCGTCGTGGTGACATGTCGACTTCTGCGTTCTGGTCGCTCGAATTCAGTCACCCAGCTGATCATTATGAATGATTCCTTCTCAATTGATGATTGAAAGGCAGCTTCGAATTCCAGCAGCATTGAAAATGAGAGATGCCGCCATATGCACGCTGACGAGAAGGCCTCGTATCGCGGAATCTTCATCGGGTCTCTATCAGTAAACGAAAGCAAGAAGCCACGAAAGCAAACAGCACATCTTGCATGGCATGCAGTCTCACGGCAACAGACAGGTCGCCCCGTCCAATAGTGCGGCGCCCTCGGTCTATTTTGAACAGAGGCGGTAAACGGGGTTTATTTCATCTCGTACCTGAGGCCGGTGGATAGCTGCGCCCAGCCGACGGAAACTTGGGCGGCTGGGAGAGGTTCCTGACGGGGCCCGCGGGGTGGTGGTGGTGTTTTCCAGGATTCAGGGGTTGGTTGAGAAGTCGGTGGTGGAGACCCAGCCACTGAATTCCGAATTTCATGGCGATGCACGTAATCTTTGTGGTGCCATTTGATGAGATGGGAAAATTGTTAGTGCACCTCCCAGCCACTTGGAATTCCCATATGTGTGTTTCCCCCAAGTCATGTCATACAAGAAAGGAAAAGGAAGAAAAAAATCACTAGAGCTATCTGATCTTTCTCGCGGGAGGAACGTGTCTGTGTTCTTTTCACCTTAGCTCCCGCCGTTGCTCTGTCTCTGGATTATTTCCCGTCAGTCAATCGTTTTCTTCAGCGTCTGCTCTCGAATCCCCCCTTACATCCGTCTTCTCTACCTATTCAGACGAGACACAGAGAAAACACATTCCACCAGAAGAGATCAGAGTCGTGTCTCACTCTGCTCTCCTCCCCCGAAAAAGACACACGCGACACCACAAATCAAACGGCAGCCTTCATCGCAATCATGGCCATGGGCATCCCGCAACAGGACCACCAGAGCGAACCGCCCATGTTCCCTGGTGACTTTGTCGAGTACGGCACCAACTACAACTCCTCCATCACGACGACGAACGACCGCCAACCCCGAGACGCCGCACGCAACGGCCGCTACCGGCGGCCGAGATCCCCTTCCCTCGACGACGACTCCCGCTTCACCACCGGAGCCCACAGCGCGACCACCTCGGAATTGCACGACGCCGCCCTCGCCCAGGCTCCCCATCAACAGGTACGTTTCAGACAGTGTTGTTACATAGCTAGCCCACCGGGAGAGGACGGGGAGATGGGTTTAGAAAAAGAAACCTTGGAAAAATCACACACCAGCCACTTCATTTCTCATACTCTTCTCATTCTCAAACACAATCAAATTTCCCCTCCCCCTCACTCACTCACCATTACCTTTCACCCACACATCTCACCTCTCACGGGCGCATCCGTCCCTCATTCCTCCAAAAGAGACATCAGACGAACTCCCGAGCTAACACAGCTTCCCGCAGCAGAGAGTCGTGCAAACGGCCCCGATGAACCAGCGCGGCCAACCCCGCGCCGCCGGCCCCCGAAGCGGTCCTCCCTCCATGGCAAACGCCTCCCAGAACCGCCGCTCGTACCCCCAGCCTCCCCCCGTCAACTCCCAGCTCCCGCCTTACACCGGAAACCCCGAGGACGACTGGTCCCCGGCCGCGCGCGGATCAGCCGGCGCCGCCGCCGCGGGCGCGGGCGCGGGCGCGGGAGGAGGCTACTCCCGCCGTCGCACAGAGCGCCAAACCCGCCGCCAGTCCTCCACGTCCGGCGGCAACCCCCCGGGCGGCCCGGGCTCCTCCGACCCCCAAATGAGCGGCGGCGCAAACGGCGGCGGCGGCGGCGGCGGCGAATCCCGCTCCTCGCCGCGCGTCTCCTCCTCCCAAAAACCCCAACAAGAACCCGCCCTCACGAACCCGGCCGTCGCCGCCCTACGCCCTCCCTCCCCTCCCACCGGCGGCGACGAGATCTCCCGCCTGCAGAGCCCCTCCATCTCCAAGAGCGTGCTGGAGCCCCTGCAGCGCAAGATGCTCGAGTACCACAACCTGATGGCGGCCGCGCAGGGCGAGATGTCGCAGCTCGACGACGAGCTGCGCGCGCTGCAGGAGCGCCGGCGGCTGGCCGAGCAGCGCTTCGTCGACGCCAAGGGCAAGCACGACGAGTACGAGCGTCAGCATTTGGATGTGGAGAGGGCGCTGAGGGGCGACTACGGCCCCCAGCAGCAGCAGATGCCGCCCATGCCGCAGGTCTCGCAGCAGCACCACCAGATGTACAACGACAGCCCGCCGCCGCCGCGGACGGTGCCGACGAGGCCCGCGAGCAGCCTCATGAGCTACGACGAGAGGCCGATGAGCGGGCGGAGCTCGGTGCAGGGGAAGAAGGGCAAGTTTCGGATTAGTCTGTTTGGGAGGTAGGCTTTGTTAAAGGGGTGATTATCAAAAGGAGAGATCCATCGGAGGGGTAGCTTTTCCGGGGGTTGTGTTAATATTTTTTTGTTTATTGGGTTGGTTTATGAAGGGAATCGGGATCTGCTTCCTATGCAGGTCGGGACACATGTAATGATTTGTTTAATGCGCGGCATGGCCAGATAGACTGCGTTTCCTTTGCATGTTCTGTTGTTACTGTAAGAATGCTTCTTGTGATCATGTTATGTCGTGGCCTCCGTTGGACATACTCAGCCGGCATCCAAACGGGCCCGCATCGACGGAGTCAACGGCGGCATGCTATACTCGTGCCATCCCGGAAACTCTTCACTCGTACAGCTGTCCAGCTCTCTCACGACTCATCCCTGTCGGCATCAAGCATTAACCATCACCAACCCTCACCCCAATCCATCGAGTTCGGGCGGTCCTGAAACGCAATCTGAATCACCAACAGCTCACAACAGACCACCCCGCGATCTCATTCCTCTCCTCCACCCCGGTCCGGCACAATACATCGAGACATCCGATCAAATCTTACCTTTCGTCTCGAGAGCCCTAGCCATCGTGATATATAGACTAATTCATGCCCATGCCCTCCATGGGACGACACGTCGAATAACACCCACCATCTCATCTCATCTCAACAGCCATCCTTGGCACCCACAGCTCCAACAATGGCCAGAATCACAACAATACCCCTCCTCCTCCTAGCCTCTCTCTGCGGTCCCCTCGCCGCCGCGCAGGGCCTTCACGAGCTCGCCGTCAAGAACGGCAAGCTCTTCTTCGGCACCGCCACGGACACGGCGCAGTTCGCCGACGCGGCCTACACGGCCGTGCTCAACCGCACCGGCGAGTTCGGCCTGCTCGTGCCGGAGAACAGCCAGAAGTGGGACGCGACGGAGAAGACGGAGGGCCAGTTCACCTTTACGAACCCGGACGCCGTGCTCGCCGTCGCGCGCGCGAATAAGCAGATGATGAGGTGTCACGCGTTGACGTGGCACTCGCAGCTTCCGTCTTTTGGTACGTTTCACGTTCACATTATTCCGCAATCAAGAGGAAGACAGAGGGAGAGAAGGAGTGTGTGGCTGACGAGACGAAAAGTCTCCCAAGGGACATGGACCCCAGAGACCCTCACCCCTGTGATCCAAGCCCACATCTCCAACGTCGTCTCCCACTACGCCGGCGCCTGCTACTCCTGGGACGTCGTCAACGAGGCCCTCGCCGACGACGGCTCCCTCCGCGACAGCGTCTTCTCCCGCACCCTCGGGCCCTCCTTCATCCCCGTCTCCTTCGCCGCCGCCGCGTCCGCCGACCCCGCCGCCAAGCTGTACTACAACGATTTCAGTCTGGAATTCAACTCCCCCAAGACGGACGGCGCCGCCAAGATCGTGTCGGATCTGAAAGCGGCCGGGGTCAGGATCGACGGCGTCGGCTTCCAGGGCCACTTCGAGGTCGGCAAGACGCCGTCCACGCAGGGTCTATCCAAGGTGTTTGCGCGGTTCGCGGATATGGGAGTGGAAGTCGCGCTGACGGAGCTGGACGTCCGGCACGGGAAGCTTCCGGCTGACGATGCCGCTGTGAGGCAGCAGGCGACGGATTACGCGAATGTGGTGAAGGCGTGCGTGGATACCAAGGCGTGCGTGGGCGTCGTGGTATGGCAGTTCTCCGACAAGAATTCCTGGATCCCGTCGACGTTCCAGGGGCAGGGGGACGCGTGTCTGTTCGATAGGGACTTCAACCCCAAACCGGCGTACGAGAGCGTCAAGGCCGTGCTGATGCTGGCCGCGAACGGCACGGGGACCGGTACCGGTACAAGGATGCCGGCGGCGACGGCTGGCGCCGGTGTCGGGACCGATGGCGGAGGCGGGCTCGTGGGGTCGGCAGGGGAGCTATGGCCGCTGTGGAGGCCTCGTCACCTTCCTCTTCGGGCGCAGCGCCGCGGACGGGATCCCTGAGCTTGCTGTTGGTGGTGGTAATGGGCCTCGGTATGTTGTGGATGTGAGATTTGATGTTTCTCTCTTGCAGCTGCAGAACAATGCGATGAAAAGCAAAGCTAAAGTTAAGAAGAAGAAGATGCTTCATAGCCATTGAGGAGCGTTGACGTGCTCGAGCTGCGACGTTGCGCGTGTCAATGACACGGTCCGCGGGTGGTGTAAGTGAGGAGATGGATGATGTCACGGTCCTATCACCTCCGCAGAGCGCCAGCAGGGGGGGGGTTCAAGCGAAGCGGTGGGGCGATGTGAATGATGCGATTTGCGTGCAAGGGAGGGGGATTTTTTTCTTTTGGGATGATAAAGAGTGTAAAAAGAGTAGCCTTTCCCCCCTCTCTTCCCTCTTCGTAAGGCCGGGTAGCAACATCGCCAAAACATCACCAACAGAGACATTGACGATTCGAACAAGATGGTGTTTCTGAAGGCGCTGACTACCGCCGCCGCCGCCGCGGGCCTGGCCCAAGCTTCTCTTCCGGGTCTCGACAAGATCCCCGCGCTGGGTCTGGGGACCTGGCTTTCTGATAAGGGCAAGGTTGCCCATGCTGTTGAGTTCGCGGTCGGGGAGGTCGGGTACGACCACATCGACGCCGCCAAGATCTATAGTACGCTTCAATCTCTCGAGTTTTGCAATTGACCTTCACTAACCATCCCAGGAAACGAGGACGAGACCGGCAAGGGCCTCGCCGCCAGCGGCGTCGCGCGCAAGGACGTCTGGATCACCTCGAAGCTGTGGAACACCGACCACCGCCAGGAGGAAGCCGAGGCCGCCATCAAGAAATCCATCGCCGACCTCGGCGTCGACTACCTCGACCTCTACCTGATCCACTGGCCCGTCGCCTTCCTCCCGGGCACCACGAAGCTGGACCGCGACACCTCCCTCGTCGACACCTGGAAGACGCTCGAGGGCTTCGTGCGGGCGAACCTGACGCGCCACATCGGGCTGTCCAACTTCGCCAAGGCCGACGTCGAGATGATCCTGCGGGTGGCCGAGATCAAGCCGTACGCGCACGAGTTCGAGACGCACCCGTACCTGCAGCAGCAGTCCTTCGTGGACTGGCACCGGGAGAAGGGCATCGAGGTGATCGCGTACTCGCCGCTGGCCAACACGAACCCGACGTACCGCGACGACATCCCCGCGATCCAGGGCGACGAGTACTGGGTGCGGATCGCGGAGAGGAAGGGCGTGAGCGTGTTCCAGGCCGTGCTGGCGTGGGGCGTGCAGCGGGGCACGATCGTGATCCCGAAGAGCACCAAGGACGAGCACATCGTATCGAATAAGAAGGCTCTGGAGGTCAAGTTCAGCGAGGAGGAGTTGAAGGAGATTGGGAAGCATGATAAGAAGCACAGGCTCAGCAACCCGGGACGCAACTGGGGTGTGAGGCTGTTTGCTGATTTGGATGACCCTGGCAAGAATGAGGAGACGAGCGAGGAGTTGTAATTGAATTGGCTGTAAAATTGGATCTAGTCTAGTCTTGAGATCGTAAAAGCAGTTTATGTCTTCTCTACATGTTTCATTTCGTGTAGTCACTGTCGCGGTCGCATTTCCCGTGGATAAGTCAAACGCCGGGGTCTACTCAACTCTCGCACTTCTCGCAGCATACTTCCTTCTGGCCCAGTAGAAGCCGAGCCCGACGAGCCACAGCACAATCAAAATCAGAGCTTGAACAGGGGCGAAGATGGCGCCTCTGACCACCACGAAACCGCTCACAACAGCGAACACCACAGGAATGAGCACAAACGGCTTGTACGGCCGGCGCAGCATCGGCTCCCGGAACCGGAGGATGATCGAGCCGAAGACCGTCAGGAAGAAGAAGGTGTACTCGCCCAGGCCGTTGAAGGTGAGGAGAGCGCGGAAGTTGCCAAAGAGAATGTATAAGGCTGACAGGATCGTGGACAAGAGGAGGGCGTTGAGGGGCGCGTCCGACTTCTCCTTGGTAAGACCTTCAGACTCGTCAGATGATTCGGCTGGGGAGCTCTCGTCGGACTTGACGCCGACGCGGCCGACGAAGCCGAGGAACTTGGGGAGCCAGTTGAAGTTGGAGGCGGCGACCGTCATGCGGCCTGCCACGAAGGAGTTGCCGAGGAGGGAGCCGGCAACGACGAGGCAGATGAGGATTGCAGCGACGATGCCGAAAGCGGGCCCGAGAAGGCGGTTGATAGCGGTCTGAAAACATTAGTATGGGTGACGTGACTCACGGATGAGAAACTTACCACTGCGACGCTGTCCGTCGTGGAAACGACGGACCAGGGGAGGAGGATGTAGTAAGCCGCATTCGCCGCGATGAAGCAGATAATGATCGTCGGCACCGCAGAGTTGATGGCGAGAGGCAGCTGGTGGGCGGGTTCTTGAAGTTCCGCCGTGACGTAGATGGCCTTGTCCCAGCCCGAGTAGGCCCAGAGAGCGCCGTACAGAGCAGCCGAGTAGAAGCCAAGCATATCCCACGCCCCGATCTTGCTCCAGTCGATCTCACCGCCGCCCGGCAGAATGGTGTTGCGGTTCTCGAACCACGGCCTGTTGAACCAGTCCCGTCCGCCAATGTCCCCATCATGATCCGAGGCCTGGAGGATGACCACGATGATCCCGGCAAGCACGACGGCGGCGATGCTGACGAACTTGGTGACCACGAAGAGGTTGTTGAGGCGGGTGCTGGCCTTGGTGCTGATGGAGTTGGCGCCGTTCATGATGATGAGGATGAGAATCGAGAACAGCTTGTGCGAGACGGCGCCCGCTTGGTCCGTCACCCCGCCGGCGGAGAAGATGCTCTCGACGAAGACGATGGAGAGGATGGCGAGCGTCGCGGGCATGACGGCCACGATCCAAGTCCACGCCGCGAGAAACCCGAACACGTCGCCGTAGATGTACCGCAGGAAGGGCTGCACGCCGCCCTCGCCAGGGATCGCGGTGCCCAGCTCGGCCATGGCGCTGGCGCCCGTCCACGCCAGCACGCCGCCGACGAGCCAGACGACCAGAGCGGCGCCGGGCGAGGGCACATTGGTGTCGATGGAGCCCGGGGAGGTGAAGATGCCGCTGCCGATGACGATGCTGATGACGATGGCGAAGGCGTCGATGGTGCCCAGGTTGCGAGTGAAGGTGCCGCCGCGTTCCTCGCCGATGAGTTCTGGAGGGACGGCGCGGTCCGGGCCGTCGTCGGTGGTCGCGCCGTACTCTTGGTGAGAGTCGGCCAGGAGGGGCCTCTGGGCTTCTTCTGATTGCGGCATTGTTTCCCAGCTTTTGCAGATGGGGTTGGATTGGGTTTGCCAATGAGATGAGGTTGAAGGTGATTGTGAAGGGGAATTGGAGTCACGGACAGGGATGGCGCCACTCGTCGGGGGCTGGGGGGAGAGAGTCAGAGCGCTGGACAATTACGTAAGAGAGTCCATCCACTTTTATTCCCGGCGCGCATCCGGATGGCTTGCCGAAAGCGTCTCCACCTCTCCGGTCGGAACGCCGATGTGGGCTCCGCTGGACAGACCCGTAAACACCGACTCTCTGATCGATACAGCCGTCAAAATGGAACTTGACCATAGGGACACACTCAGTTGTGTAGTTTGTGTTTGCATTGGGCTGCCGCTTCAGATTCTGAGATAGATCACCGAGCTCCTTTGTAAAGTTTGCCACGGGATGGAAAAGCACAAACTTTTTATCATTTGCGCCTTGGTCTAGCAACTTGTAGGAAGTGACACAAACATTTCTTCTCATTGGCCGCAGTAAGAACGAAAAAAAAAACACGACGTAATCTCCGATATGCACCTTGTGAGTTACAGCATAAAACCCCATGCCATCCCTCTCATCAATTAGACCTTCGTATGGCAGTCCTCCCACGGATACCAACAAGCTGCGGAACATCAACTCAACCACCCAGCTCAGCCTTCTCAACTTCCATCATGCAAACAAGTGCCCAAACCTCCCTAGCCAGCGAGATGGTTGTTCACGACTTTCTCCACGACAAAACCTTCCCCTTGGCTGAACGACTAAAGCTTATCCGCGAGATCCACCACGCGATCGGAACCAAGCTGTCAAACTCTTTGGATGAATGGTTGACACTGTGCGACTTTCATCGAAAAATGCTTCGTTCGGCAAGGTGTTGGGCGCTCCTACTGGTCTGGAACCGCCCAGGTCTAGAGAAATTCCACGCAGAGCTGATGGACGAGGTCACGAAAGAAGATGCGGGAACGCCAATGCCGCTGAAGCTTCTCATCACGTCCCTTTTTGCAGTGCCGGATCTCATCTGGAGTTGTAAGTTTCGGATTCACTCACAAACGGGGATTTTGCGTGGCTGACTTTCTTCTCAGTTGTTGCAGAGAGGCCTGAAGGGGAAAACGTTGACGCAGCTCGCGATACGCAGGAAACAAGGGTGGGCGTCGCCGCATCGCCCTCCCTGCCCCAGAAGCTGCATGCACAGGCACGCGGCCGCGAAAACGACGTCTGCTTTCTGACAGGCAAATCAGCTTGCGACGCATCTTACGTGATCCCGCCGCGAGCCAGCAACGAAGAGGCCGTCCCGTGGTATTGCCTGTTCCGCCTCACCTCGCAGTTTGGAGATGAAGCATCGATCAGGCGGCTGATGGGAAAGTTGGAGCCAAATGGTGGTCTTACCGGAACTGCCGCCAATGTAATCACCCTGAGCGGTCCATTGAAGCGCATGTGGGAGCGAGGCAGGTTCGCTTTGGAACCCGTGGGTTACGAGACCAGGATGAAGCCGTCGGAGGATGCCGCCACAAGATCGCTGGCTTACCAGGAGGCTGCTCTCCGGCAAACGACGAGCACACGGGATCCCCCAGCCGCTTCCGTCACATGGATGCGGGATTTGGTGACCCGGGCGATGCAGTCGACAACAAAGGATCACGACCAGGACGCCAAGAAGGAGGCCACGCAGATTGGCATTAAATTGCGTTTTCACTGGCTGCGGAAGACCAACCTCGAAGGACTGGACGACGATCCTCCCAATCTGGATTCCGATCCTCGCCTGCTCTTTCAAGAGTGGGAGGACAACGGAGACAACCCCCCTGCGATGCGGGTCCACGGTTCCGGAGATAGCTTTACCATCTGGGCCGACAACATCGACGACCTCCCTGACTGGGATTTTCTCCAGCTGCGTTGGTTCGCTATGCGGCTGTATTGTCTGACTGGTGCCGCAGACCCCGACTTGTACATCCCGCGGAACAACGACATGCTTCGCGACAGATTAGATGCCGCGATGGAGCGGGCCAATAAGAAGATCGACGAGCGCCGTCTGGCGGAGGATGGTGGTGTGGTACGTCCGGACTATAAGACGCTCGCTCGGGATATTATCCCAGCTTTTCCAGGTGGACACAATGTCGATTTAGCAAGTAGACAGCAGTCACCCTAATCAAATCAACCAGGACATAATGTTAATCCTCAAGGTACTCTAAATATTTCTTCTGAGAAATGAGTCAAAGAATATGCATCTACTCCCATTATACTAATAAGGCCGGTGTCATGAAACCTTCTCCACTGCCCAGCCGGTTAACACGCCATGATTCTTGCACCACGAAACTCGAGAATCTGATCTAATGTATTGAGAAAAGATTCACTCAATTATGTTTGTAGTTTCTCTGGAAACCTAAAAGTCATACCAACTACATTCTACATATTCAGCCACACATTGCATTATCCAGATACTGTTTTCCTACCCATACAGGTTCCCGTTAGCCATAGCAGTTGAAAAGGGACGTGTCGCATCTTAGTGCGCATCTCCGAAACTTCGAGCCAAGTGTACAAAGTGAACGCCGAACCTTCCCCTTCCCAGTCCCGAGACCACCCAAGAACCACTGCATCTCATCAGGAAGAAGCTGCTAACGGCCGCCACAGTCACTTGTCTCAACTTGGCGATCTTTAACACCAACGCGCGTACTTCAGGACATGGGGAACCGCACGGATTTCCTGGACGAGGAGGGCCTCCTTTTGGAAGACCGACTCGAGATCATTGACGAAATCCGTCAGGAGATGGCGAATCATCCGCCAATCAACATGTACTACGACAGAGAGGAGAGTTATCGTTCCCTGAGGTCCTGGGCCGTTCTCCTCACGTGGGAAGGGCGAGGTTTGCGGGCCTTCCGCGACGCCTTGAATGGCGCGGACGAAAAGCGCAGAAACCGCCGGTGCGATGAGTTCTTCCGCGTGCTTGGGGGGCTCACCGACATGGTCTACCTGTGTAAGTTCATCAACTCTTACCCGTGAGAACACCGCTGACTCACTAATCAGTCGTGAAGAACCCCAACGATCCGGCGGAGCTTGACATATCTCACGAGAAGACGTCAGGCACTCTGGTAAGAATCATTCATGATCGTCAGGGCATCTTTTCGTGGCCCACTGCCCCCCTTGGACCCTCTCGAAGCTCAAACTAATAACTCTTCAGACGCAGAATCGCGGCCGGAGCGTATGTCCTTTTACGGGAAAAGCTGATGCAGAGGCGTGTCACATCATCCCAACGAACGCAAATAAGCGTCCCACTTCCATCTCAGGAGTCATGGATCTCATTAATGGCTTCATGGTTAAGCCGGTTCCTATTCCATGGGACACAAGCTTCGGCGCAAGAACAATATCATCGACACTCCCGCCAATATGCTCTTGCTGAGCACCCAGTTACATCGCATGTGGCAAGAGGGCAAGTTTGCCTTGGAGCCCTTGGGATACGAGGAGAGGCAGAAGCCGCACTCTGCCGCCGCCGCGCACTCTTCCATCGTGCAACCGACCATACCTGTTGCCTCTAAACCAGTTGCGTCGCAAAATTCCTCGGATAGGTATGCAGACGCCGAAATGGAGGAGCATAAAGCTAAGAAGCGTCGGTTGATGGAACCTGAAGCTGAGAGAAAAGAGCGAAAAGAGCAAAAGAAGATGGAATTCGGTATCAAGGTCCGATTTCACTGGCTTTCGAAGACCGAGTGCCAAAGTCTATTTGACCGCTATCCCGAACCGGAGAAGGCCTCCAATCCCCGCAGCATGTTTGTAAAGCGAGATCCCGCCGATGCCGTACCCGTTAAGGATGGCCAGATTGTCACGATATGGGCCGACGATGAATCGCTTCTGCCTGACTGGCATCTACTCATACTCCAGTGGCATGTGCTGCGGCTCCACTGCTTATCAGGGAGGGCAGACCTTGATCTGTATATCCCCGAGAGGGATCAGGATGAAGATGAGGACCTCGCTACGAGGGCTCTCGCCGCAAAGAAACGAGTCGAAGACAGGATTGCAGAGGACGAGGCAAGAGCTCTTGCTAAACAGCAGCGAGAACTGTATGCGCTTCAGCTCGCATGATGAGGATTATGGACGGGTTTCGATGGCCACTATGACTGTTGGTGTTTGTCGTTTTCTTCCTCCTTATCTCTGCTCACCTTTTCCGGCGTATTCGTCATGTATCCTCTCTTCAGAGAGTTGATCATTGGCACTGACGCCAAGGACATGCAGAGGAAAGCGAACGACCCCTGATGGATTTCGTATTACGCAACCTAGACATTGAGATACTGGGAGCTTCAATCAGACGGTAAATTGTCGGACTTCTTTGCACAATGAGATGGCGAGGAATTCCTTCCAGACGCATTCTTTGTGGAAAACATGCGGAACTGCTGCATAACACAGAAAGAAAGCAAAATATGACTTGTTCTCATTGCTTTATGCATAAATGAATCAAGATGAATACCAATGAACAGTAACGGTTGGATATGAATGAATGGCAAGAGTTCAGAATAGTGCCGGTTTGTTGCATCAGAGATTGGCAGTTGGCCAGTCCTCCGGCTCCTTCCTCCCAGACTTTGGTTACCTCACTTTTTCAACTTCGTTTGTATTCGCCCACCTATTTATCCTCAGGAACCATTTATCCTGAGATCTCTCTTCCAGAAGTCTCAAATCTGACCACGAAGTACCAAAGCCATTGCAGAAGGTAAGTGACTGCCCTCTGAATATTGAGTAAAGCTTAAGACTGACACACGCTGCGTCGGCCATCCAGATCATCTCACAAACTACTATCATGGCGACCCAATCTACCACTGCCGAGATCCTCCTTGCCGCCATCCACCGAGATGAGCTTCCGATCGACCCCCAGACGCTGGAGGACTTCGGCTTCAAGCGATGCCGTGACCTCGTCGCTGTCATCATGCTCTTCGAGGTCTACACTGCTCTGGTCAAGACTTGCGGCATCACCCATCAGACTCTCCACCAGTGGCGCGCTCGCGGTACCATGAACCTCGTCGGTGAAATCAATCGCGAGCTGGAAGCTAACAAGCACCGTATCGACAAAAAGGTCTACACTTGGTTCTACCTCAACGACCGCACTATCGCCAGCGTTTCCCTCGCAACCGGAACCGTCATCGACGTCAGGCCCCAGTCTTCTCTAAGTATGCACGAGTTGAACGCCCAAATCAGAGAGCGAATGCCGGACAGACAGAGTTACGTCGAGATGATGAAGGGCGTCTGCATGGCGGACCCGGCTACTAGAAAGAAGATCGAGGCTGGCATCGAGGATCTCTCCGCCATCGTCAATCAGGCTGCCGACAAAGTCTACGGCAGAGAGAATGTCGAGATCTCCGACCAGGCAGCCAACGAGATCTCCATCACGGGAACCACTACCGATACCCTTCTTGCCCACATCGCCGCCCGCAAGGACTCGCCAGAGCTTCAGCACATGACCGACTACGCCATGTCGCGATGCCACTTCGCGCCCGAGAGGAAGCGCCTCCTCAAGGTCTACACTCATCTCCTCTCCACCTGTGGCGTCAAGCCGGCTACTCTGCACACCTGGAACGCCCAAGGCCTCAAGCCTCTGGGCCAGAAGATCAAGACGGAGTTCATCAAGAAGCAAGACAGTCTCCCTGCCGGCCTCGTTGAGTTCGTCACGGAGAACCAGTGGATCTGGGACGCCGACGACGCCGATGGCGAGTCCAGGGCCCTTTTCCGCACTCCGGACCTGGCTGTCAGATTTAAGGACATGCTGCCGCACGCCCGCGCCATCAACCGTGGTTGATCAACAGTCTCACTCATTTTAACCCTTGGAACGGGAACTGATATCAATCACAGATGATGGACACTGGTGGAAAGGGCTTGAATTGAGTGACGTGGCAGCGGCTGCTGGCATCAAACGGAGTCATCTTGATAGCTGTAGTCTGGACGCGAGGAGAAACCCATAGGATTTGCAATCACGGAACGAGATAAGTTGGTATGGACTAGCCGTTTACCATTTTTGATCATGATGATTGATCTTGATTCGCAAGACCGTTTGATATGCTGGTGAAAAAAGGGCTGTTGCCGCTTAGAAAGGGCCTGCACGGCACTCGAATCTCACCGTTTGTTCTCTTGCCTAGAAAAGAAAATCCGGCTTCACTTTGGGACAAACAGACAAACCCCTAGAGAGCCACCTTGTTCCTGAATATCTGCAGGTCACCGTATGTTCCATCTCACTTTTCTTGGCCCGTATGTGCGCGACCGCCTTCACCACCTGTGCCTGACCCGCCAGCATCACCCACGACACCCACCACATTTGGTCTCTTCCACCTCACTCGGTCATCTCAAGCTTCCAGAGCCATTTGCGTTTCCCTCTGGTCTCCGTAACAGCACCAAAGATTGCAATTTTGAACCTGGTAAGTCGTTCATTACGAATTCTCATCCAACAGTTCTATAGCGTCCCGCAGCTGACCAGCCAAGCAGTCCGACGATCCACGATCCATCCAGACAAGATGGCGAGCACCAGCGACAACGAGTCAGAGATTCTGAACCACTACATGGAAGTAATTCGGAAGGGCATCTTGGAGATCATAGCCCGTAAAGACAAGGAGATCGATGCCAAGCTCAGTGCCAAGGCTCCGGTCGAGATCTTGATGGAGGCCATCGACATCGGCGAGGTCCCCAAGGAGAACCGTACCGTCGAGGCCTTCCGCTTCGATCGCTGCTACCTGCGCAAGGACAGAGCCGCCCTCATGAATCTCTACCACTGCCTCGCGGGCATCCTTAAGATCACCCCCTCCGACATTCAGACCTGGATCGCCAACGGCGAGGAGGTCGTCCAGGACCGCGTCCAGACCGTGTTCCGCGTTGCTCTCGGCGACAAGTACCCCATCACGCCCGCCGAGCACCTCAAGGACGCCATCGAAGCCGACAAGATCCCCACCGACCCGCAGACCGTCGCCGACTTCTGCTTCGACCAGTGCGAGAGCGACGAGGTTGCCTCCGAGCTCCTTGACTTCTACCGCTGCTTGACCACCCTCCTCAAGGCTCCCCTGCACGTCGTGCAGAAGCTCATCGCCGTCAAGCAGTTCGTCCCCTTTGCCCAGGCCAAGTTCATCCACGCCGTCCAGTGGACTGCCGCCTGCGGCTGCCCCGACGAGGAGCAGGCCGACTGGATCACGGACAACTTCGACTGGCTCATCCGCCACCACAAGGACATCTTCAAGCACGTCAACCAGGCGTTCGACTTCCAGTACGCCGGCATCCACGAAGAAGGCGGCGTCAACATCGACACGACGCGGGAGGTGCCGGAGACTGCCGGCTGCTACGTTCTCAATAAAGAGACAGGCAGCGGCTTTGTCACCCATTTCCCTGGTACCAGAGACCTCAACTCTGAGCCCAGCTCTAGGCAGTCTGTCCCTGCGGCTGCCTCTATTGACGAGGCTGTCATCACGAAGCTTTCCTCCAACCTCGACGATGACGATATCGGAAAGCTCCTGGCCGCGTACGACTGGTTCCGTGACCACCGCTACATCTTCGGCCCGCTCAACACCACGAGGGACAAGGAGGCCGTCATGAAGGGCCTCGAGGAGGTGCCGCCTGACTCCCGTCTCGGCCGCTCGAGAACCTTGAACAGAGACACCCGAGCCAAGATGATGGACGACATCAACGAGCACGCCGCCGACGGCGTCCACCTGGCCTACCTGCGCATCTCGCCCCACGTCGATCAGGGGGCCTTGCTGATCTATCCTGGCAGGAACCGGAACAACGGCGACGACCCGGAGCGCGTCAAGGTGGTTCGGCAGGACGCGGATGAAACTGAGACGGTCGTCTTGGTCACGGATTCCTACGACGAGGCTATCGCGCTGGCCAGGCAGGCCAGGGCCGACTTCGTCCAGAAGACGCGGGAGGCCCGGCGCGCCGCCGCTGCTGCTTCCTCTACTGAGGAGACTGCGTCTGCTTTGTCGTCCATGACTCTCGAGGAGACTGCGAAGAAGGGAGAGGTGGCTTCCATTGCTGATTCGACTGCCGTGGATGCGAACAACGATGGCAAGTAGGCGGTAACTGTGAGTCGTACTCTTCGTTTGTAATTCCGAGTTACTGACTTTATTGTGTCTACAGGTTCCGTTCCGTGGTTCCAGCTGTGGTCTCCAGCATGCTCACTTTTTCTGCCTGCCGTCATTGCTGTTTACCTAAAGACGAGCACTCGCCACTAATTGCAACTGGAACCAGGCTGGAGTTCAGGCATTGGTCTCATTCTGGGATTACATGGGTTTCCAGGCTAGCACATGGGAGTATTGGCTTGGTTGTATCACATGTCCACATTTGGGACCGCATTCTCTGGGAATTGGGCTTCACATATTCTGACAGTATTTTGGTTCGGCCTGAGAGTCATATCATGTACCTTATCGAACCATGGATCCCTGAACTACCTGGAAGAGACAATGGGCTCATTCACCAAGAGTACTTTGAAAGACATCCTCTTTGATCCTGGAACATAAAGCAAACAGAACACGGTCTTTCGTTTGAAATGCCCGGGAGGCATCAGTCTGGACTAATGATGAATGCAACGGCGGATCATAAGAGCCACAATCGTCGTGTTCCTCCCGTTTAACCGTGCCCCAAGCACAACAAAGATACCCGACCAAGTACGCGTTGTCAAACGGTCAAACTTGGGATGGTGTCCTCATTTCTCTCCCGTCAGCAAGCAGAAAATTCGGCGACCTTGCTTGCCTGATCAACACACCATGCCTTTTGCAAACCTCCATATTGATCAGTCATATCTGCAAGAAGCCGCGTGTGATTCTACCTCTGAGTGACAGCCCCGCCGCACGTGAAGTCAGGTTTGCTCCTGGGGCAGGAAAAATGCAGGGCTGCCTCGTGCTCGAGTCAATCGTCAACGTCGACAGTTTGGCGTCTTTCGCCACCCACCTTACCGTATAGTTTACTGGTCATCCAAACACGACACGACCACAGTCTATGGTCCGTATCTGGTAGAGGACTTAATAGCTATCACCCCTCGAGCTCGTGAGGCTGACCATGCCAGACTTACGCCTCCAAATGCCCTGGCGTACCCCTCTGGTTGCGGGCGTCGTCACATCAACCTTGACAAGTCATGCGTTGACAAGATGGACGGCCTCGTGAAAGTTTCTGCAGATGACCTTGATGGAATCAATTCAATCCCCTACAAAAAGCCCGATAACCGTCCTCCCACCTCTTCCTCGTCCATCCGTCCTTCTTCCCTCCGCTGGTCCGCAACGCGACTGGTTCGCACGCCATGCCCACCACACCTATCTCCCCAGACACCGACCTCTCTTCTTCATCTCACTGGACCAGCCAGTGAAGACAATGGAAAGATAAAAGGGGAGCTGTCCTGGAGGTAGTGTAATACCAGGTCGAATCGGAAATCAAACATTTGGCCGCCTTACGAACGAAGCCTGGCGTGTTAGCGCAAGTATCGCCAGTCTCGTTGTGCCCGGCTGACTTGAACAGCCGACCTACCCGGCATGGCCAGCCAGAAGCAAGCGCAACAAGATCAAGCTGAAGAGGAAAAGAGAAATTTTCAGGATGTCGGGAGGATCTACCCGATTAACACGGCACCCCGTTTGCAAGCCGCCGTTTTGACCCGTCAAATCTGCAACAGGCCGCTCATGATTCTGCCACTGGGTATGTGAAATCACGCTTGCTCTTGCTCCTGCCTGGGGTGAAATTTTTCTTTCCCACCTTCTCTCTTTCAACTAACACTGACTCTTCCATCCGACCCTTTCATCATCCACTGCTCATTGCTTCCCTCTCAGCAACCACCATCTTACCCCCATCCCACTTTCCAGCCCAAACACTGATTCTAGGCAAGCCTTCCCGAAGCATTCGGTATCCATCGCTAACGGCTTGCTCCAGATCAACTCATCCATTCTCATTCAAGATGTCCAGCAACGCAAACGTAGCTTCCTCCGCCGAGGCGACCGCCACCCCTTCCAACACCACCAAGCCCGTCGACGCCGCCGAGGGCATCGACACCTCCGGCAAGGCGACTGCTGAGATCCTGAAGGCCTTCATCATCGTCGGCAAGATCCCCACCCACGAGCAGACCATCAAGGACTTTGGCTTCGACCGCGCCCACTCCGAGCATGACTCCTTCCAGCTTCTGAACGTCTACCGCCACGTCATGACTACCACCCTCGACGTCGCGCCTTCCACCCTCCAGGCCTGGATGTTCGAGGACAAGAAGGTCCTTCTGCGGAACATGATGTCGAAGCTGCGCGAGGCCCTCGAAAAGGGCCTCCCCAACCCGGAGGACGTCAATCGGCTGAAGGACTCCTTCCGCTGGTACCTGTCCCCCCCATCCTTACACTAATACAGCTCGCTGACCAAATTTGAACAGGTTGACCCGCAACCGCTACATCTGGGACCCCGCCCACGCCAACGCCGAGACCCGCGCCATCTTCAACGCCGCCGCCGCCAAGCCCCTCAACGGCAACCACGCCGACATGCAGAAGCAGCTCGAGGCCATGTTCGACGGCATGGTCAAGGTCAGCAAGGAAAAGGAGGCCCGAGAGCCCCGCGGCGAGCCCGCCAACGCCGAGGGCGACCACGACCGCACCAGCTGCCACACCCTCCGCGCCGCCGACGGCCGCCCCGTCCTCCCCATGATGTACTGCCCCGGCATGAACCTTAAGGGCATCGCGGATGAGCTCAAGGGAATGCAGAAGGCGCAGGGCGGCGAGCCTGTCTTCCAGGACATCACCCTCAACCACCCTGTGCCGGGCCAGCCCGGCGTCACGAAGCCCATCACCCACAAGCTCGAGATCAAGATGGTTTCTGCCGAGGAGATGTTTGGAAACGTGAAGAAGAGCGCGGATGGTACTTTTCGCAGCAAGGCTGGCGAGGCCGGCTCAGAGAAGGAGAAGTATCCCACTGACGAGGAGGTCGAGCGCATGATTCAGCAGATGGTTGGAGGCATGCGGCACGAGGATGAGTAGCCTTTTCCTTCTGGTCAGTATTCATCTGTTTGCTTGTACCGCGCTCCCACTAACACAGATCAGACAGGACTTGCCAACGTCTAGGACTGGTCATGCCCTCGTGCAGCTTCCGTCACTTGTTAGGATACATGGAGATGGCATGATGGTTGGCTATGGGCTGTTGCTCGACTTACTTCTCTGAGTTGGAAGATGGGTTCTGGATGTTCCCGTGTCATCTCTGTGGTATCTAGGTAGTTAGGCAGGATCCTAACACACACCTTTCACAATGAAAGGTCGCCATCTCGCAGTGATCTCTTTAAAAGTGCATATTGTTTGGTTTTTCTTTTCTGAGCCGTTCCAATGAGACTTTCACCTGGGTCCTTCCCAACCCGTCGTCCACCGTCAACCACCGTCTGCGACTGCCTTTGCCTGAACTTCCAGTACCTTCCATCATTCTTCTCCCTTCTACTATCATTGTCACTCTCCATCTCTCGTTTCACCCCTTCTATTGACCCAGGCGACTATCTCCGCTCCAACTCAACGCGCGATCCAGGACCCTGCCGCCGGACAATCCAACGTCCACATCGTCACCATCCAACCTCTCTCACTCCAGCAACCATGTCCAGCACCACAGACACAACCACGAGCCCCGAGCCCCCCACGGACGAGGAACGCGCCGAGGCCAACAGGACCTGGCACGCCCTCATCGCCGCCGCCCGCGACATGTTCGGCCACGACGAGTCCACGCCCCAGCACTTCGGCTTCGACCGCGTCCTCGCCGTCTCCGACATGCGCAACCTCGTCGCCCTCTACCGCACCGTCACCACCGACTGGGGGATCGGCACCGGGCAGCTGCGGAGCATGCGCATCGCCCAGGGAAAGCCGCAGATCGCCGCCTACATCAACGCCGTGTACAAGCTCAGGGGCGGCTCGGCGGACGACGACGCCCTGCGCCAGTGGTTCGACAGGAGTCAGTTCATCTAGGAGGAGGACTTTGACAACGTCGGCATCGCGCTCGAGCGCGCCGCGGCGGAGAACGCGTGTCATTCCGGCATGGACGACTTTCTGGAGGCGTTTCTGCGGAGTCAGAATGGTGAGGTGCCGGGCGAGGATGGCTTTCCCGGTCCCGGGTTTGTGTGGCGGTGTAGCGAGGCTGACCGGGCGGTCTGGTCTGCCAAGCCGGACGATCGTAAAATCGAGAAGGAAGAGGCTTGAGGTGGGTGTCTCTCTCTCCATTTCTCTGATTACTTATTGCTAACTTGTTTCCTAGATCTTCTGGCCGTCCTCTCTCGTCTGCCACTCTCCGCGATAAAGAGTCTCTTCATCGAAAAACTATCTTGTACTTTGGTCTCGCAGATCTGGCGTGAATGGGACCCATCCAGACGACATAGCGAGTATCTGGACGTTGGTGTAGCCTCAGAGGTTATTGATTAAAAGAAGAGGCAGCTGCGTTTTCGAACAGTGCCCTCCACAACGAAAGGAACACCTCGGTCCTTAGTAGGAATACATGTTGTCAATAACTAATAACTGGGACGCGTCTGAATGATAACTGGGTGCTTTGAGTAATTCCAATTCGAAATTTGTGATATCGATCAAGTACGGGTCGGCATAATCCTAGATCCTTCCCAAGACCAACGGCAAGTCCAAAGCCCACCTGAGGTCTTCGTATTGTAGCAACCCTCCCGAGCCCTCTTCTGTCCAACCGTGCCATGCTATTCCCCCCCTATTCGTACCAAATGGCGAATGTAAATGCCCACTGCGTCTTTGTGATAATGTCTGGTTCGCTGTCAGCCGCTATTCTTCGAGCAACCCAATTCTGGCCCAAAATCATACCTAGATGACTGTATGTATGCAAAGAAGTAGTGGCCTGTTATGTAGGCAAATTGAGAAAGACCCGGCGATTATTTAGAAGATTTCTTGGTAAACTTGCGCTTCTTCGAAGGTGGTTGAGGTGTAGTCCTGGGAGATAAGATTAGTCCACGTTCGAAGTACGGATACACAAAACTTACTCAGGCGAAGACGAGTCGCGACCTCTCTTCCCAGTGACGGAGCCATCTCTGGTCATCATGTACTTCTCGGGAGGGCCACGTGCAAAGCCCTTATTCTTGAAGTACCTTTTGTTGCGGGGCTTGTAGGGAATTGGGTTGGCCTTCTTGAACTTGGTTTGGAATGCCTTATCTCCGGGCTTGGAAGTCGTCGAATCGGCTGTCTCCGGCTTGATCTGGGACTCGCTGATCTTGGTCGCGGAGGCAGAAGCCGCGTTGGAGGCCTTGCTCGGCTTCTCGCGCGGCTCCTCGGCCTTCTCGCCAGTCTTTTCCGCCTCAATCTCTTCATCAGAAGAATCCAAGATCACAATGACGTCCCCCTTCCCACTCGCAGACTTTCCCGACCCGGCCCCAGCCGTCTCGCCAACCGCCTCCGACATCGTGATGTCAGCCCCGGCCTCAAAGTCAACAACATCCTCCAACCCCCAAATACTCTTCTGATTCATCAGAAAGAACTGGCAATACTCCTCCGGCACAAGTCTGCGCCTCGTCTGGAACTCAATCGCGACGTTCCTCCCAATCGCCAGCGCACCTTCCTCGGCCCACTCTCGCAGCTCGCGGGACGAGACCCCCATCCCGACGACGAGGAGACGGTAGATGCTGAGCAGTGTCACCTTGTCGGCGTCGAAAAGGCACTTGTCGAAGCCAAAGTCCTTCAGGGTCTGTTCGTCGGCGGGGATCGTGCTCGCGCGGGCGGATATGCAGAGCTTCTCGGCGGTGGTCTTGGCCGCGGCCAGGCGTGCCTGGAGGAAGGCGTCCGGGTCGAAAGAGGGGTTGTTCGAGGTGAAAGCTCTGGACTTTTGGATCCTCTCGCGCAAGGACAGCGTCTTGCCCTCCGAGGGACTGGGCTTGGAGCAGGTAGGCATCGTGTTGCGACGGGGTTGATCTATAGCAGAGATGTCAGTTGCTTTGCAGAAGTCTGTGGAAGGGAAATAATTATACCACCTGAACCTGTGGAATAGTGATGCTGGTGGAGGGTTCTTGATATCGTGAAGAGGTTTGTGTGATGGCCGTCGCCAAAGCGGCCGTTTTGCAAAAAAGGCGCGGAAGCGGCAAGAGCGACTGAAGGGGCCACCTTCCCACGTACAGCTAGATTGAAACGAAGTCAAAAAAAGGCAAATTAAGATACCGAAGGCCATTTGGCCTTGTACGTCAATAGAGAGAATGGTCAATTGCAATATGAAGTCCGAACATCGTGTATTCATGCTAAGAACGGTTGCTGCTCTCTACAACGGCCACTCCCAAAACCTCCATCAGTCGACAATCGAATCAACTGCGATTCTCATACTGTGTCCTCCAAATAATATTTCCCCCTCGATCCTTATTTTGTTTGATAGTCTAGCCCTGCATAGGCACTACACGGGCTGCCTCCTTCTCAGCTCACCTTGATTGCTCGAAGCGCCTTGGCTGCTCGAACTGCCTTGATTGCTTGAACCGCCTGGCTTGCCAGACGAAGGAACCAGCGGGTCTTTGCTCGAAGATGACGGGCATTCTGTTGTGGCCCCATCATCTCCGGATTCCCCTCTCGAGTGCAGATCTGGGCCGTCCCAAATACGATCTTTAGGAAAAGGAGGATAGTCCAGAGAATCCCCTGTAGGTGGAACAGTAAGAAGCTGAGAAGATCTCTCGCCGTCTTTGGCGGTGCCGGTGATGTTGGCGTCGTCCGCTCCGTGTCCCTTGCCCTTTGCCTCCGTTTCGGCCTCCGCTTTTTGGTTCTTCGCTTCTGCCATGGCCATTTGGAGGGTGTCGTGTCCCGACTCATCGTACGCAATCCAGATATACTCGTGGCTTTTGGCCCACTTCCTGAGGTGCTGAGGGAGAAGATGTGCCTTCTTGGTGATTTTCTTGTATAGCTTCCTCTGCTGATGCCATTTGTCGATCTTCTCAGGGGTTACACCCATTCTGAACAACGTTCTGTACAAGTCCAATAGAATTCCCTCATGCTCGAGCTCTAGGCAGCGGTCGAAGCCGTAACAGTTTCTCGTTTTCGCATCGACAGGGGATCTGTTCTCCTTGCAGTTGACGAAGAGTATATAGGCGGACTGGTGGTCGATCACGCCATGCATTCGCATTATGCCTTTCTTGGAGTCGGCAGACTTGCTATAAGCAGCACCCATGATTGAGCTCGGCTTGCGGTGATAATGGTGTGTTATTGGGTTGGTGGGTGTTGCTGATGGATTCTTGCAAGGAGATATTGAGCCAAAACCAAAAAGAGTTGAAGTCGAGAAGATGTTGCGGAGAAGATGGACGTCAACGTCTTTCGGGGGAGGGGGATTAAGTACCTAGGCAGCCATGTCCTTGACGGTCAGAGTGGAAGGGAGCGGCTGCAGTGCAACTGCTACATCAGGCGATAGGAAAGCGCTTTCGGATTCCATCTTTCCTCTTTACCGAGCAACTGTCGTCCGTACGCAGTTACCTTAACACGTGTCTGGAAGGAAAAGCCTAGAGACGGCAGGTATCGCGGAAGATGATGCTGGACAAATCCAGACATTGGTTGGACTTGTGTCAACTGTGACCAGTGACTCCTTATCGTTTTCATTTACCTCAGGGCAGCGGATGGAAAGAGAGGCCATCGCTGACTTGCCCAACAAAGTCATAGTACGACAGCACCACGGCACTCTATGCGTAAGGTACCAAGAATCAGCACGTTTCTTACTAAGTGGTACTTGATTTTGTGTTCTCCCATTGTGTGAGTAGCTAAACATCGACGTTAAATCACCTAATAGTAAGAATTATCTGTGCCTCAAGACATCTGATTCCCGGAAGAAGGCACCCAAATCTAAAAAGAAGACAATGAGTTCATGACCAAGAATGCATAGACTATAACCGATGCAAGTTCTTTCGCCCCATCAGACCAAGGTAGTGTGACCTTGGAGCTTGGGTTTATCATAGGCAATAGGGCTGGAGGCAACCATAGACTGATGCCAGTGTTTCTTGAATCAAGCTAACAACATGAGTTGCACGGCATTCTCAGAATGAAAACTTAGGCAGTCTCATTCAGTTCTGCAATTACGGTGCTCAGCTTCTAGCCCAGCTGAACATGTTCTCGGAATGATCATTGTACAAAGTGTCCACGCTGAAACTACTCCCACTCCGAAGCCGTCAGATAGGCTTTGTATGCCGCCTTGTCCTTCTCAGGCGCAATCTCCTCTCCAATCCTGCCCGCCACAAATTGCTCCCCCCACCAAACCTCACCCAGGCCGGAAACCATCTTTTTCGTCTCCGACAGCTCACTGGACACGGACACGCACTTCATAGGCCCTCGGCCGAAAGCACCGTTGGCAAGGAACATCCTCTTCAAGGAGCGTGGAAGGGCTTCCAAGACCTGCCTCTGTACAGCACGGTGCTCGGAGACCGTCTCCCGTTGAAGACGATCAACCCCGTCGATAATGGTGGTGTCGAGCCACAGGCTCTCGACGTTGACGAAGGCCTTGAGGGAACCGACTCTGGCTCTATAATTGTACAGCCATTCTTGGCGATCATTGATGCAAAGAGTGCGGAGCGTCTTTCCGTGGGATTCCGAAAGCATGCTGACGAGTGTCGGGGGGTCCAAGATCAGGCTCTCGTCGTCCTTTTGCCGAGTGTATCTGAACGTGTGGAGGGGGGCACATCCCCCCAGGATGGAACGAAGCTTGCTGGGTTTGAGGTTGATTCCGTCCATCGTCAAAGAGGAAGTGTTCTTGAACCACGACGGCAGCATTATCTTGCTTGTCTTGATGAACATGCTCTCCAAGTACAGATTCTCCACGAACCCCGACTTGAGAAGAACACCCAGGGTCTTGGCGCCGGCGTCTTCAAGAGAATACTCCGAGCTGAGAGAGAGCGATTTCAAATGTGATAGCTCAGGGCGTTGATCCGAGCTCGTCCTGTCTCCCTCGAACGTGCTGCAGATGAGAAAGCCGATGTCCCTCACACGCGGTGTGTGAGCCAACAGAAGACTCAGAAGGGGTCCGGCACTTCCGCGGTAGTAGATGTTCGATCCCAAATCCCTCAGGTTGTTGAAGACATTGATATTGTAGGTCCTCGACATCTTTCTGAGCATGGCGGCCTCGCTGAAGCAGAGCTCGACGCAGGGTGGATTGCCATCGTCGTCCACGACCATCCAGATTTGGTGGATGGCGGCGCCGACTGCCGGCTTGTTCTTGATCAGCTTCAGGAGCGGGATGAGACGGTCCGGTGAGCGTAGCATCCGGATGGAGCGGTACAAGAGACCGCTGTCGGCGATCGCGGCTCGCAGGTATCGGCAGGTCATTGACAGGCTGTACAGGGCGTTCCATGACATCTGAGCGCCAGGGTTGGAAGTGTCGCTGGCGAAGAGTATTCTCGTTGGAGTCATCGGGCGGATGTGGGTGCATAGTTGATCAATGATCTCGGGGGGAAGGTGAAGGATTTTCGCCATTGTTGCGGAGAGTGATGGTGAAGTGGTCAAGATTGATGAGAGACAAGTTGGTGAGACTGATCTTGGGGAGGACTTCAGGAACTTAAGTGATCCGTCCGCAGGGGCTGGATGGGCAAGATTCAGTGAGTTTCCACACCTTCAAAGACAGAAAAGAAAAAGGAAGCAGTGCTGGCAGAAAGAAACTTCACCGCTTCAAACGCTTCGCTTTGACGAGCCGTTAGGCAGGCTCCCGCCTGTGAATCAAAGATGCATTTGACGATGGAATCATGACCATTCTGTAACGATTTCTTTCTAGAGCACACAGTAAAGATCTAGAAGTGCCATGCATGCCTTATGAATTTTTAAGCCTTTGGAAGCATCCACAATGTTCTTAGTCGTCGGGACATGCCCAGCTATTGAAGCTCGGCAACGACTTACGGAAGCGAAGTTGCAATGCTTCCAACACTGAAGCCCACAACATGATGACTATTTTTTTATTTGGGTTCTCAGGATGGTGTACATTGACGGATAGATCTGAGTTAGTCTTACTTGAGCGTTTGGGCTCAGCCAAGATGAGAAATTCTTAGAATGTTCAGCTCTGCTTCCATGAGAAATATGACCCTATTCGTCTTCTATGAATTCGCTCCATGAATATAAAAATTCATGAGCTCCCAAGGCAGTATAGATCTATAACTTCTACCTGCGTCAGTGCCGTGGAGGGGTAAAAATAGTTGGAGCCCAAAGCTTTCACTGCCAAGGTGAAATTTGAATTGTTGTCTCGTAGGAAGATCACATCAAGAAGTAATCCTCTTAATATCTTCAAGCCTCTTAAGGCCAAACTAGACGCTCTGTTTCTATCTTGATCTTTCGGACTCGGCTCAACAACCAGCTTTCTGCTCTCACGTATCGACCAGATCATCTCGACAAAGTTCTTCCTACCATTGACTCTGGAGCCCCTCTCAATGCCGTATGCAGCCGTTGCTCCTAGAGTGAGCAAACCACTCGCGGCAGGCAACACTTAGCGGCCGACATTAGTCCAGTTCGGGCCGGACGCCGTCCTTCCTAGCCCCAACAAAACGGTTCCGGAGGCTTGCTAAAGGCATTCCACGTGCAATGAGGGACCGGCCCGTGGTCATTACTTCGGTGCTACTGAGCCCTTATCAAGAAGCAGACGCGATGTATGTTGTTAGTAAAGGTCTGATCATCGGGTTCCTGGTTGAGTGATGCAGAAAGTCAAGCACCTTGCTTTGGTATGCATGTAATCTTTCTGTGGTCATGAATGGGCATTACCTGCTCATGTGTGCATCAGTCACATGTTCTTAAAAGCCGTTCATTATGTGTCGTCGCTGGTATAGGACGCATTTTGTGTTCCCGGGCCGAATTTCGGATGCAAAAGGGTGCTGAATCATAACACACGGAAGACAGGTCTACGTCTGGAGTCATGTTGATACTCGTGGATCCCGAATAGAGCCAAGATGGTCTCAAACTAGAGACACAACAACAAGAAGCCCTCAGAACCCCTCTTCTGTCTCAGGGTTGCAAAGACCTAGAGTTGATGAACCCGACACATCTCCGTGCCATAACCGCCGTGCCATATGATCGCCAAGGTAACTTGGCACGCTTGAAGTGTCTAAGTAGGGGGTCTTTCCGTCTTTGGGAAATCCAGCCACAGACCTAAAAGGGTATGGCGGTATAATGCATCAGTACCCGGGCTTGAAATAGGATAGGCACGTTCAGATCAGACCAGATCACGCTAAGATAAATGGGGAGGCATCTGTCGAGGGGCTGTCTCAGTCTCGGCGCCACCTTCAGCCGCAGCCCGATTCATCATGGGCCGCCCGTCCGGAGCGGCCCGTTTTCAATTCTCCCTCGGCCGAATCTCTCTGCATGCATGAACGGGTCCCTTCCGTTTTATACTGTAGCCCGCGTCATATGGCTAGCGGGCCGTCGATCATTAGAGGCTTGAAACGGCTGGGACAGTGAGGCTCATTGGCAAATCTAATTCGGACTTGTTGAATGTCGGTTTTGCCAGTGAGACATGGATCTTTTGCGGCAGGCATCACAAGCAACACAAGACTTCAGGTCAGTACGGCGGGTCTCGGATCCCGATCACTGACCATGAAGTTGAATATCTTGGCCCCCCACATACTCCGTGGTCTTGTTGATATTCAGCATCTATAGGTTCTGGAATGCCTCATGTAACTCACACGACTACATGTCATTGCTAGATACTAATCTCATTTGGTACATTTAGTTCTGGACCAGACAAAAATCAGGGCTCTCTCGGGCTTCTTGAGTCCACATAGTCGATATGGCCCTTCTAACGTTGCTTTAGTCGGAACATACGTTCCAGTTTTCTTGGGCTTTGAACAAGACCCAGCGCGAACTAAGTCGTAAACGAGTGATAGTTCATAGATGGATGTTGCCTTGTTCCTCCTCCACGTCTTTCAGGCGTCGAAGAATAACTGAGGGTTTCTGAAGAGGGCAATCTTCGTGGGCGATCCGGAGGGGCTCCACCCAGTATTGCTTCCCAAGCCTTATGAGAAACCGCTTTGGGCACTCTGAATATCTGTCTTAGACAGACCCTGACCCTGTGCGAACATGGTTTTGGTAAAGGTTCGTCGGGACGCCCCATGGAAAGGTGCGATTACAATACCCAATACCACACACATCGTATTTCATGTGCCAGTCGGCCAGTCTCGGATACATGTTTCGAGAATCCAATCCTTGAGACAGGGCATGGGGTAGCGTTCTGATGAACATCTGCTTTCAAAATGAATGTCCTCATTCAGACACGGCAGCCGAGCGGTGCTTGTTACCAGGGTGCTGGCAGAGACCTTCTGTCCACGTGTTTCCCCCCTTGAAGTTCAGAATTACCGTGTAGATCTTGAAGAATTGACGGCTTCGTCTTGCCACTTGACCTCAAGACATGAGTAACAAACGAAACTGAGAAATAAGTGCTGCTTTCGGAAGAGAATAGCTCGGGATATGATAGACTGCCCACGTTCTTGCCGATATATGAGGAACGAATAAGCTCCGAATCAGGGAATGGAAGTCGTAGAACAGCATCCAAGAACTGTCTCTTCATAGTTCCGTGTTTTTCCGTCAAGGATTCTCATCGAGCTGTGCGCAGCTTACCTTGCCAGACAACATGTACTCCTCACGCTACTCTATCGGGGGCCTTCGCACTGTTTCCCACGAAAGCCCTTCGTATTCCCAAGAGACTCGTTCCATCTCTCGTCAGTTTTCCTCACAAGACGACACTCCGCGTGCGCCTCCCCGCACCGCCTCACACCACACCCGATCCTTCAGCAACTCCTACTCCTTTGACCGATCCAACGATGCCTTCTTCAACGATCGAAGCAATGGCTCTCGCAATATTGCTCGCCGAATGTCCGAGAGCCTCTCCCGCGACAACTTGAAAGACATATCACACGGCGACATCAGCCATAGCAAGTCTTGTGACATTTGCACCGATAACACGCCCTGCGATATCTGCAACCAGAATTCCAAGGCCGTCGACCAAAACGCCGGTATTGATATCTCTGGGAGCTATTCTCGCAACTTCCCTTCGTACAGTCTTTGGGGCGACGCTTCCCACAGAACATCCAACGATGCCTCGCGTGACGTTAACTCGCACGACGCAACCTGCAAGATCTGCAGCGACAGCGCCAGCGACAGCTCCAGACATGCCACTCACGATATCTCTAAGAAGACCTCCAACGAAGGATTCCGCGGTTTCCCTCGGAGTGAATACGACGATTGGGACCGCCCCTCTCGTGGCAGTCGCTCTCTCTCCTACGATTTGTCGCAGATACTCATAGGAGATGGGCCTTACAACCATACACACGAGAGCGGTACAGGCTCATCAAGTCTTGCCGATCACAGCCACAATACGGGACACGCTATTTCCCATAAGGGTAGCTTTGATGATGCGCGACATGCGCCCGACAACAGGAGTGATGGCTCTCGCAGCTCATCTAGTGTTTACTCCCACAATGCTACACATAACCATGGTTCGGGACATCATCACTTTCCTCACGACTCTGTTCATAATCACGGTGGAGGACGTGGTATCTCCCACGACTCGTCACATCAGCACACCACTGGGAGAGATACCTGCCAAGACACCTCTCACAAGCATCATACCTCCCGCGATGTGCCCCAGCATAACAAACACGAGCACAGTGATGTGAGAGGTGATTCCCAAAACAACTCTCACAAGCTCTTCCTGGACAACATCTCTGAGCGAAGCCACAACATCGGCCGCGATGAATCTTATGGTCAGCACGAAACCCGTCAAAACAACAACCGCAAAGTTGCTTTTGATACCTCGGACGATGCACATGATACTTTTCACCATGGGTATAGGGACTCGAACGACACCTCCCGCGGCATCTCTCGATCCGAGCAAACTCATGATAACGGGAGGCATAATTCCTCAAGGCACGAGACAACGGGCTCCAGTCATAGCCATGGCACAGTCAACACTGGCGTCTTGAGACATACTTCTAGTAGTTCCGATGACCATTCTCGAACCGAGCATAATCACCATACTTCAGACAAGCCGCCTTCTCATCACACTCATGTTCACCACGACACCAACAAACACAATCAGAACAACCGGTCTTCGCATGGACACAACATGGGAGGCGGTGGGTTCTATGGTCAAACGGGCCTTTTCGACAACGACTCTCGCACTGAGCACAATCACAACACGACACGTGATGATCGTTCCGGCCACAGCGAAGTATCCAGCGATAGCTCCCGCTCGCACCACCATGGGCATCATCATAAGGGGGGCGGCGGTCGTTCTACCACTACTGGCATATCGAAGAACCGCTCTAGCTCTGAGCGTAGCCACGGGGACGAACACTCCCACAACACAGACTTCGACAGGTCTCCTGGCCAAACCAATACGACCGACAGGACTACCAGCTCGAGGCAGAATCAACAGACTGGGGGCGGCAGCCGGGTGATCTATGTCGACGGGCACACCTCTGACAATACTTCTCGGCATGGGAACAATGGCCATCCTATGAACACCCCGAAGACAGAACGCAGTGATAACACGGGGCACAGTTACACGACGGAGCGCAGTAACAAGACTGGGCACAGCGACAAGACTGAACACAGCACCACAACAGAGCACATCCACCACAATGGAGGCTATCACAATACGGAGCGCGATGGATCTTCCGGCCAGCCTCATACATCAACCGGGACGTCGGGTCGTACATCTAAGGAGATCCATGGACATGGTGGTTCTGTGGAAGGGGATGATTCCTCCGAAACTCACGTATCCCATAACCCAACTCGCTCGGGGAACAACGTTGACGGCGGTGGAGGGCACAATGGCCACAACAGTCACATCATTGTCACTGATCAGACCCCACGTTCCGGACAGCCAGATCTTCGAGGCGGAAGCCTCTCCAGCCATCCGCATACTCATCACACGCCGGGCCAAGAACCGTCTCTTCCAGGAGCATCTTCGCAAGGCCCGCCCCCTCGACCTCCCCGAGAAACACTTCCCCGAGAAATGCCTCCGCAAGGCCAACCTCCCCAAGGTCAACCTCCTCAAGGACTACCTCCCCAAGGACTACCTCCCCAGGGATTACCTCCCCGAGGACCACCGCTTCAAGGGCCCCGGCCGCAGCAACAGCCTGCAATCCCCGGTCCATCCGCTCAGGTGCCAAGGTTGCATACCGAGAAGGATCGCTACATCGATGCTAGCCGGAGCAACAGCTCAAACGGCAACACCGACGAACCCCCAAGCGAGCATCCACGAGTGCCGAAGCCCATCACCCGCCACGGCTGGCGACGTTACATCCATTTCAGTGGATGGCTGATCCACATCCCGGCCATCATTCTAACCGCCGTCCTCCTCTGGTTCGCCTCGAGAGAGCGCTTCTGGTACCGCTTGGAAGGCCCAAGGAGGGTGAACCTGACCCCCAAGGGCGTCGAGGTTCTCCTGCTGGTCCTCCTCAAAATATGGGAGATTCTGGTTGTTCTCTCGCTGTCTGCCATGGCTATCAGCATGCTTCGCCGGAGACTCATAGGCGGCGGCGTTCGTCTGGGTTTTCTCACCGGCGGCTACCGCGTCGGCGACTTCCGCTATCTCTTCTCGCTACCTTTCTGGCGTCATGGGATGTTCAGTCTCGCCTTCTGGGAGTTGATGATGGCCTTGTTCTTCATCTTGGCGACCCTGATCACCATCATCCTCCTGCCTGCCGCGGGCGCCTTGCTCCTCCCATCGCTGCAGTGGTTTCCAATGGACCATACGAGAGCTTTTGGGAACGTCAGCACACCTCTCCTGTACCAAACGCAACCTACTCAGGTGTGGCCGACACTCTTCACCGACAGCGCACCATGGAACAACACTCGGGGTTGCACCGAGGTCGAAGGCATCTACAACGCAGCATGCCCCGCCGGAGGCTTCACCGAGATTTGGAACTGGGCTGGCGGATTCGCCACGACTGGATTGTCGAATCAGGTCACCTTCTCCGATTCCTCAACCAACCTACGTCGTCAACTCATGATCACCGAAATCACAGATTCCAGCGTCCAAGACCCGCCTATCCTGTCCACTACGCCGTCTCATCACTTGAACATCAACTTCGGGCTAGTCAAGAGCTACATCGATAACGGCAATGGCAATGACAACGGCGGGGACATGAACGGCGACTATCCCTACCGACTCAACACCAGACGCATCGATTCCGCGGACCCAAGCAACCTGCAAGCCAGCAACCCAATCTTCCAGCCGTTCGTGCAGTCAAAATGCTACGTTGCTCCCAAGGCAGAGATTCTCGCCAACAATGGCTCACTGAACTACCCCGTCTCATCGCTCAACTGCTTCGGGGATACCGCCTGTCTGCAAGCCCAGCGAGCGTCACCGCCACGCGCCATCAACGCGTCGCAGTGGGATACCCCAGAATGCCAGGGCCAGCTCATCACGACCAACGTCTTCGCGTACCAGAACGGGACGCCCATACTGCAGATCGCCGGCCAGCTTCCCGACCCCGGAGGCGATCACACCCAGGACCGGCTTTTCGCCTGCAATTTCCTGGCGAGCTGGGTCGCGGCCACCGTCTCCACGGACTCGAGCGAATGCGACGCCCTCGTCTCGGGCCTGAACAACCCCGATACGATGCTCAGCACGTTCCAGAAGCAGTCCTTTGGGGCACCGACGGAGGGATACGTTATGAAATTCGACTCCAGCTGGTTTCAGTATCTCTCGCCGGTATCCTTCGCGTCTTCCGTCATGGTCAATGGCTCCAAGGCTTTAAAGTACTACTCCGCCACGGAAAGTTTCGTCCGCCACTTTGCCGTCGCGGAGGAGTCGAGGAACGGCACGGCGACCTCGCGATACTCCGCTGTCAACAACAGTACCATCGGGTCGGCCCAGGCCGAGACGTTTCTGAGCAAAGTCTTCGGCGTCTACCTCACAGATGCCATCTCTCGCACAGGCTCAGAGAGCTCGACGCTGGTACGCTCGGGTTCTGCCGCCCAGGTCGTGGTTGGCGTAAACGCGCAGTACAGCAAAGATGACGGGCCCCTCGTGAACGAGACTTCTGATTCTGCCACCGAGAGCTCCGTCTCAGCCCGCCAAGCGCCAGAAGACATCGTTTCCGACTCGATGGGTTTCGATTTCAGCGTCGAAAGATACGGCTGGGGCACCGGGAAGCCGTCGCGAGCGCTGGACTTCGGCAAGGCCGTCCTGTACATCTACTTCGCCGTCCTCATCCTGTACCTGCTGACGGTGCTTTTCGGGATCCTGTTGGAGCTGATGGGTCGGTGGCCGAGCATGCACGTGCTGAGCGTCGTGCCGTGGTGGGATCTGCAGGAGTTGTTCGTCCTCGCGCTCAAGACGTCGCCGCCGCGGGATGGGGATCTCGCGGATGCCGGCGCGGGAGTCACGTCCTCGCATGTTTGGAGGAAGAGGGTGAGGGCCATGGCGGGCGCGCACCACAACGTCGAGTTGGTGCTCAACGACGGGACGGTGAGGGGGGAGTTGAGCAAAACCGGGAAGCAGAAGTATTTCTGAGGTGGTCGTACATAAACTGCTTTTTACCTGTTCTTCGCGACTAATCATTGTAGTACCTATGCGACCGCGTGTTTTTGTTTTCCATTGATCAAGGTTTGCTTTATCGGCTTAGTTGTAAATAAAAGCGTAGCAGCGGAGCTGCATTGCCTGACATTCAAACCTCATCAAAACGTGAATAGCGTCAGGTCTGTTACTGGAACTGGTGAAGGTCAACGGACTCTGGGAAAGCATCGTCTGGAAGGCGAGACGCACCTTACACCTCCGATCTACCCAGAGATCAGTCTGTTGGCGAATAGAAAAAAGAAAACTTTGGACCATAGCATTGTTGAACACGAAATGAAATCTATTTTGTCTACCGCCCGTTCACGGGCCAAGTCTATCCCAATGGTCTATAACTCTAAAGTAGTTCGACTCCTAGGCAAACTCCGTCTAATCTCGGCGTCCTCATTCTGCTTCTTGACATTGTCCCACCCAGGTAGCTTGACGGAATGGTCCAGCGCGACTGGCAGACCCCTGTGCCTGCCACGGATCATCATCATGATCATGACCAGCTTCGAGCCCGTGTACCAGCCGCCCGCGAAGCTGAACGAGCGGCCCGGCAGGCCTATCGACAGGCCGATGTTGGTGTACCCCGACACGATCTCGAACAAGAAGTTGAAGACGCTGTAGGAGCGCGGGTCCGTGATCGAGTGGGACGTCTCGATCAGCGTGACCAGGAACAGCGCGAAGGCGATGGCCCAGATGTCGTGCGACAGCTGGCCCCGGAGGTGCTGCGACACGAGGCTCACGTGGCCGTCGAGCGCGGCGGAGGCGGAGCCCGGGGGCCCCCCGTTCGGGTTGTCGAAGTTGATGGCGGCGGACCGCTTCAGCCGCGGCTTCGTCGTCACGCCCACGCCCTGGAAGTTGTTCATCCGACTCTGGATCTGCTTGCCGACGAAGGAGGTGCCGCGCCGGCCGATGGCGGCTATCCTCTTGACGGACTTGGCGGGGATGCCCGGCTTTGCTTGTGACACGCCTGATGCGGAAATTGCTGTTCGCTCTTGGCTAAGGGCAACCGTCTGTTCAGATAGGACGTGCTCAACGGTTGGTAGGAGTTCATCTGTCGACTCGTTGGCGGTCGCGTCTGGGTCCTCGGGCTTTTCGGGTTCCGTGGTGTAAATTCCAAGTGACCGTTCTTCGTACACCTTTAATCGTGTTAGTGAAAAGCAGATGCCTCGGCTAGACTAGAGATCTCACTTACGTTTGAGTTTCTCATGACGATAATCTCCGGGTATGCGGAAATGTACATCACGATGACCCAGAGGACCAGAACGTCGAAATAGAGGCTGGAGACAGAAACAACCGCAAAACCCGAGGAAGGGATGGCTGAAGATAGAGAAGTCAGTCATTGCTTGGCAAAAAATGGAACCACTCTTGGTGACTTACCGAGTGCCTGAAAGATGGCCAGCCCAACTCGCTTTCCAACCGGGTATGCCTCGATAGCAGAGTTGCCGATGCTGAGAACCAACAACAAGACCCAGTCCATGACCGCGATGGTGGAGAACATGGTGACGAAAACGAAGTTGGCCTTGGCAGGGAACATCATCATGTACAGACGACGAGGGTACTTCAGGATGAAATCGAAGGCTTCCTTCCAGACGGTGTACTCGTCGTCACCAACACACATCTTCAAAACCAAGCTACAGAAGTAAACGGTCGCTCTGAGGAACGCAGGGAACGCAGCATTTCCAGCCAGGGAAAGGATGGTAACAATGGTCAAGACGAAGGCATCGTTGTCCAAGGCCGACACGCCTGCGTCGAGGAGCGTCATTCCGGCGTTATTGAACGAAGAGATGGCGAGGAAGATGCCGGCCCACCAGGAATTTTGCGAATTGACGGCCGTTACATCCTGGTTGTGCACGTATGACCAGGCGCCGAGCGTGATGGCGCCAAGCAGCTGCCAGAGGACGAAGTAGACGCAGACAATGGTGAAGAGAATCTTGAGCGCCCGGTATTCAACGCCTCCCAGGTACTCGCGCTGTTCCTCCGTGAGGTCGAAGAACTGGCCGTTCCTGCCGATCGACTTCTTGTTCTCGTGGATGAACGTCTTGAAGTCGAAGCCTTCTGAAATAGACAGGCCGTCATCACGACTGACAGGCCTCCGTCTGGTGGTGGCATTTGACCTGGGCGAGAGCGGCTCGGTGGAACTGTGGGAGACGGCGAACTTCTGGCCCTCCTCGATGGGCTCCAGGGTGCCGTGTGGTGCAGACTCCTGATTGGTGGTCTGGCTTTGGCTCCGGCCGTGGCCCTTCTCGCGGGACGTAAATCCCGTCAGCTGGAAGGCGTCTGCCTCGGCCTGTCGCTCGTGTCTCCCCTTCTTCTTCTTCCGCTTAGACCCCTTGAAGGACGACATGACAGGAAGACCAATCATGGCGCCAGCCATGCCCACTATGTGGCCGGTCTTCTTGATCCTCCTGTTTCGTTCGGCCTCGACGATGTCCTCGAATCGCTTCTCAAAGACGCGGGCGCGGAGCCAGATGGTGAAGATGGAGACGAAGACGGGGCTGCCAAGCATCATCATCAAGGCTATGATAGCCTGCTGGGCGGTACTGAGCTGGCTGATGTCGACCGTGTTGAGTCCGGAGGTGGTAAAGGCGGAGAAGACGAGGAAAAGGCTGTCGATGAAGGTGACGCTGTTTGCCGGGTTCGAGAGTCCGTGAAAGATGCCGGCAAAGATGAGCCCGGTCAGTATGAAGTAGGCGTAGTGAACTGTGATGAAGTTGACCGGAGGCAGATACGGCCTGACGGCGGTCCATGATTCAACCATGCGGTCCGCCGTGGCGGGATGGTCGGCCTTGAACTTCTCCCATGGCTGCCATGCCATCGCTCGCGATGCTCACCACAGGGCCGGTAATAGTGTGCGCAACTGACGCGAGCAAACAAAGGCAGCTTCCCGACCAGATTCGTTGTTAGATGTCAGTTTGACTGCCTGCCGTAATGCGCCGGCACGTGGGATGGAAGAGAGAAAGGATTAGCCTTGTAGGAAAAGAGAATCGTGGAGTGGGCAAGTGATAAGGAAGCGCTGCGCTTCCCCCTGATCGACCTGTTTTGGCGACACATGGAGGGCAAATATGCCAAGCATGGCTGGCAGGGCGGACCAATGAGTCTGCAATCGCATCTGGTTGGCGGTCAATCGGTCTGCAGGGGCGGCTGGTCCCGGGGCCCACCCATTCTAATGACAACTCATTACCCGTGGAACAGAGACCAGGGCATCATTGGACCTCAGCCAAGCCAGCCGTTTCACAGGGCGCTGATCCTTTATCAGTACTCATGAAGCCAGGTTTTGCTACGGATATGGAGGTCGTGATCTGTTTGTCTGATTGAACGGGCTTGAAGCAGTGTGAGGGACGCTCTTGGCGGAATCTACTTCCGCTGAGGTCTAAAGTAGCAAAGGAAGCCCCTATATCCTATTGTTACGCGCGCCAGGGGCCTGAATCGTGACGTGTTGATGATTGGGTTCCATTGCTACACTACGGACACTCGACAGCCCTTTTCTGTGCTCCGGAACTACGGATACGTTCCCCAGGCACCTAGCTTGCCCCGCTCACCGGGATCGCGCGATCTTAGGGATCCGGTCGCGTGAATGATAAAGAATCGAAATTCGAAGATTGTGGCGGACACAGCTAGGTGAACGAACAAATGGTAATGATACATAAGGATGGTCACAGCAAAAAATTACAAAGCATGGCTGCATGGAAGGTTGATTGACTGAACCATTTCGACCTTGAACACTTAAACCTCCTATCTAGCTTTCATGACCACACAGGCTCATTATGGATTTTTTTTTATGGCATTGATATGTGACATACGTCTCGATGGCTTGGTACCAGAAATACCATCCAAAAGATCCTATTGATTCTCATATGATGTCGTGATGGCTTCACTCGTCGTCGCAGCTTTCTGGTGGGTCCCGAGCCCACGTGACCGCTCCGTACCTACCTTAGCCAACGCGCCGGTACACTTATATCACGCCGCGTTCCGCAGAACTTGCCAAGTACTTTCAGAAACTAAATACACACTTCACCATAATCTTCAAAGCAGACTTCTACACGGTGTTTTCATCATTCAATTGAACGGTCGTCTTCCATTCTAACATTAATGACATGAATCATAGAGGGTGCCTGGTCCCAACTTCAACTACGAATAGACCCGGTACTACGCATGGATTGGTCAGAACATACGCTTAACCGCCAGCGACCCTCTTCAGATGGCCTTGTTTATGACGCTAGCGGTATGTTCAGAGCATCGTGATCTGGGGTAAAGCACCAGGGAAAACCAGCTATTTCAGCAAGGCCCCGGCAGCAAACCGTTACCCTACTCAGATGAATCTGGGCTGATCATCGGCCTTCGTAACGTCACTACCCCGGGCCAGTTTCACAGACTGCTCAAGAGTTGCCGCTTCTGAAACTATGTAAGGCGTACTCCTCCCGCAGTCAGTCAGCTGCCTCTCACCGAACCCTCACCGTCGCCGGTTCAAGTAGTCCAGCGCAAGCCCAACGGCGTAATTCCGTCTCCCAGACCGGACTTCGGGTACCCATGCCGATCGTAGGCGTCCTGGCACAGTCGATCGCACTCGCATCCCAGCGGCTCGTCACGCAAGGGAGCGGACAACGCTCCCACGAAGTGCAGACGGAATGACATCAGAAACTTACCGAGTCTTCGGAAGTCCGTTCGCGGGCCAGGCATATCAGGGGACCTGGGGCTCGGACTCCTCTGATGGGCGTCTGACCCTGACGTTTTAGCACCAGACGTCAATCTGACAGCTTGCTTCTGATCGTGAGACTATCTTAAAAGGTTGCATGAAGCCGCAAAATCTGGGGAATTGCTTTCGACGACGATCAACCTCATACAGAAACTTCATCTCACTTCAAAATGAAAGAACCGACGCGCCGTTTGCGATACAATGTGGCTACGTCCGTGGACGGCTTCATCGCGCCTCCCGACGGGTCAACGGGCTGGATCGTACAGGACTCGAATGTCGACTTCGATAGGCGGTATGCGCAATTTGACACCTTCGTCATGGGCCGCAAGACGTACGAGTGCATGTTCGCCATGGGCGAGCAGAACCCCTTGAAGAAACAACCGAAAGAGAACCTGATTGTCTTCAGCCAGACGCTGAAATCCGAGGAGCACCCAGATGTGACCGTTGTTTCTGAGGATGTCATCGGGTACGTGGCCGAGCTCAAGAGCCACGAAGGTCGGGACATCTTGCTCATGGGCGGGGGCCAGCTCGCGGGACGGTGCCTCAAGGCGGGAATGCTGGATTCGGTGGAGGCGGCGATCATGCCCGTTATGCTGGGAAAGGGAACGAGGATGCTGGAGGAGACCCCGCTGACACCCCACGGCGGATTCAAGTTGGAGATGGTGGACAGCGAGAAGTTGGAGAGCAGTGGGATTTTGATGTGCAAGTACAATGTCAGCAGAGGGATGGCATGTTCACTCGGAGAGGCGTTGACGTTCTGCTGATGGCATGAGGACGCGAAATAAGGGACTATAGATACCCAGGGGAACAACTAGTATGGCATGACGGACCAAAAGTCGTAGTATGAAGAACAAAAGTTTTTCAAAGAAACAATCAGGTACACTTTAACATCTGGAAATGATTAGTTCACTAGTATACTCACCCTGCGAGGTGCTGTGAATAACCGCCATCAAGCTCAAAAACACTCTGAAATGATTCATACTCACAAGGGTGAATGTTCGCGCATCTCAATCCTTCAAGTTCGCCAATAAGCCGTGGAAATTGATGGATTCATTCTCACTCGATCGTACGTCGCCCGCTCGCAATTGTACGTTGCCCGCTTAAATCCGTCGCGACTCCCCCGCCTTAGCTCCGTTAAAGCCCCTAAGGCCTGCATATTCGCGGTGCCATAAATCACATCAACTCTGCCAGTTAATCATGCTGAAACATTCAGCATCATCGTTTACTGAAATTCCTCCGGTTCAAAGCAAATTCAACATGTCCTCGAACGCCCACACCAAGACTGTCCTGCTCCTAGGCGGCACCGGCAAGGTAGGCCGGCAGATCACCAAGCTCCTGGCCAGCACCGGCATCCCGACTTACCAGTCCTCCCGGAGCGGGGCATCCACAACGGAGCCGGACGCCGATAACGTGAGGCCGATCGCATTTGACTGGTCCGATGAGAAGACGTGGACGGCGGCCCTCAGCGTCGGGGCAGCTAGCGTCTTCCTCGTCGCGCCGCCGATCCTCGACATGCTGCCGCCCATGCAGTCTTTCATCGACCAGGCACGACTCAAGGGAAATACGAAACGATTTGTTTTGTTGAGCAGCAGTTCACTTGAGCCGGACATCAATGGCTACGCGATGAGCCGGCCGCATGCGTATCTCAAGGAGCTCGGGCACAGGGGTGTGGTGGAATGGGCGGCGCTGCGACCGACGTGGTTCCAACGTGAGCAGGCGAGTCGATTGGCAGGTCGACAAACGTGCTGATGATGGAGCAGAGAACTTCGCTGAGCAGGCGAACCACACAGATGCTATCAAGAACGAGAGCACCATCTACTCGGCCACGGCAGATGCGAAAGTCCCATGGGTCGCGACCGCGGACATTGCAGCTTGCGCGTTCCAATTGCTTACCCAAGAGGACGCGCCTAACGACGAGTATCTCATCCTCGGCCCTGAGCTTCTCAGCTATGGCGAAGTAAGTCCTCGGACTGTTTTTTAAGCAGAGTCAGTGCATCTAACAACCATCGACAGATTGCAGAAATCCTCACCGAGATCCTCGGCCGCAAGATCGTGCACAAGAATCTCTCAAGAAAGGAGCTGGAAGACAGGTTCGTTAGCCAGGGCATGCCGCAGGACTACGCAGAGATGATGGGCGGCCTCGACACGAACATCAAGAACGGGAGCGAGAACCGGACGAACAGCGTCGTGCTCGCACTGACGGGTAAACAGCCGCGCAAGTTCCGAGATGTCGCCAAGGAGTACAAGTCTGTTTGGGCGCCGTGAGCATGTGAGGGGTCGCGATGGAATGTTAGCGTCTTGGACACATGTTTTCTTGGTCCTCTCGGGATAATCCCATGTGGTGTTCCCCTCACACTAAGTACACAGCAAAAGATTCAAAAGAGAGTTTTTTGTTTTCAGTCAGCAACCGCTCGCCGTTTTCAGCCGAAGTGTCCGCGTCCGCTCGTGTGCGGGGATCTGCGCTAAGGTTGAAACAAGTCATGAGATCACAAACGTCAGTTCAGTACCCGACATTCTGCAGGGAGAGTCGATGGTTTTTCGAAATTCAACGTGACCTTTCACTTCACGACAGTTCATGTGACTATCCAGACCTCAGTTTGATCACGGAAATACTGTCAAGATGGACTCTTCATCCGTAGCGATTGGAGATGAGCCGCCTACACCCAATGGCCCCGTAGCGGCGCCAACGCCGGAGGAGGAGCCGAATCCACTGACTTATCCGAAGAGCGCCAAACCATTCAGTCAAGATCTGTTCAAGGAGCCGACGTCGGAGTATCGAGGCTGCCCACTATGGTCATGGAACACGAAGCTCGAGAAGAAAAGGCTGCTGCGGCAGATCGATTATCTCCGGGAGATGGGCATGGGCGGATTTCATATGCATGTCAGGACCGGACTTGATACCGACTACATGGGCCCGGAGTTCATGGATCGGGTGCGAGACTGCGTCGAGTACGCCGAAAGTAAGGGCATGCTCGCCTGTCTGTAAGTCAATCCCGCTTGGGTCTCAAAGCACTCATTCAGGTTGCTCACCTCGGCTAGATACGACGATGACCGATGGCCATCCGGGGTCGCGGGTGGGAAGGTGGTGAAGCAGTATCCGGAACACAAAACCAAGCATATTCTGTTCACGCCGCATCCCTATGGTACCGTTGAGCTTGGAGGGTGAGTCGAACTCATGGTGTCCCATGACTTGTTACTCACGACCTTCAGTGGTTGCGCTCCGAGTTCCGCCCAGGCTTGCCGAAGTGAGCAAGGGTACTTACTGGCAAGATTCTCCATCACCCTCGATGAAAATGGGCGCCTCAAGTCCAGTCGCCAACTTGAGGAAGGAGAGGATGCCGAGCCGGGTGGCAGAGTGTGGTATGCCTACGTCGAGATCAACCCGCCATCGCCTTGGTTCAACGGCCAGACATACATCGATACCATGAGTACCGAGGCTATGAACCGCTTCGTGGAAAGTACTCATGAGGTCTACAAGGACAAGATCGGAGACAAGTTCGGCTCCACTGTCCCATGCATCTTTACCGATGAGCCTCAGGTCGCGATCAAGACTCAGCTTTCGAGTCCTGACGGCCTCGAAGACGTCTTCCTGCCCTGGACAGCAGACCTTTCGGACACCTTCAAGTCCACCTACGGCGATGAAGCGGATCTTGTCAGTGGCATCCCCGAGATCATCTGGGATCTCCCGGGAGATTCTCCGAGCTTGACCCGCTATCGTTTCCACGACCACGTCAGTGAACGCTTCGTCACCTCGTTCCTTGATCTTCTCGGCGCCTGGTGTAAGAAGAACGGCATCCTTCTTAACGGACATATGATGGAGGAACCAACACTCCGGCAGCAGACGACTGCTCATGGTGAAGCCATGCGCTGCTACCGCAATCAGTCTCTTCCGGGAATGGACCTGTTGAATGATTGGGTCGAGTACAATACCGCGAAGCAATGTACCAGTGTGGCCCGCCAGAACGGCATCCGAGGAGCCATGAGTGAGATATACGGATGTACGCATTGGTACTTCACCTTTGAGGGACACAAGGGATGCGGAGATTGGCACGCGGCGCTCGGCATCACATTCCGAGTCCAGCACCTCAGCTGGCTCAGCATGGCCGGCGAAGCGAAGCGCGATTACCCTGCCAGTATCAACTACCAAAGTCCATGGTATAAGGAATATGGATACATCGAAGACCACTTCGCCAGGGTCGGCGTGGCGCTCACCCGCGGCAAGGCCGTCACGCGTGTGGCGGTTGTTCATCCGATTGAGAGCTTCTGGCTGTGCTTCGGCCCGAACAACAGCGGCGACGATGAGATTGGGCGTCGGGATCAACGGTTTGCGGAGTTGACGAACTGGCTTCTGCATGGGTTGGTGGACTTCGACTTCATCGCAGAGAGTCTCCTGCCGAATCAGATTGGCGATGATATTTCTTCGCCGCTGAAGGTCGGAGAGTGCTCATATGACGTGGTCATTCTGCCGAGCTTGAGAACCATCCGTTCGTCCACCCTGGATGTGGTGAAGAAGTTCGCAGCAGCAGGTGGAAAGGTCATCATTGCTGGTGACGGTCCTGTTCTCGTCGACGCCCAGGTACCATCACCGGATTTGAGTTTGGATATTGAACCACGCCTTCAAGTTGCATGGGACCAAGGCGACATTCTATCAGCTGTGTCGGAAAATCGAGATTTGAAAATCGACCTCAAGGATGGAAGCCCTACGCAGACGCTGCTGTACCAGATGCGCGAAGATGACGGGGAGCGTTTCCTCTTCATCTGCAACACGGACAGGAACAACCCTTACGATACCTTGGTCAACATCAAGGGCGACTGGGACGTTGAGGTACTAGACACCTTCACCGGGAAGACATCCCACCACCAGGCGAAGTATGAAAATGGCTGGACTGTTCTGGATCACCGTTTCGAGGGATGCGCGAGCTTGCTACTGAGACTTTACCCCGTGCCGGCAGAGAAACTCTCATTCGTCGACATAGCTGGCGCCATTACGCTGACACCACCCAAGCAAGAGGCCGTTGAACTGAAGCTTGAGGAGGTCGTATTATCCGAACCAAACGTCCTCATGCTAGACTACGCCTCGTACAGAATCGATGACGACCCATGGGAGAATGCTTCACGACAAGAAATCCTCAAGATCGATAACGAGATTCGGGCCCGTCTTCGCCTACCGGCCAAAGGCTCAGCCTGGAAGCAACCGTGGAGCGTGCCACAGTCAGAGAGGGCGGCAAAGGTCTACGTTGACCTTCGCTTCGAGTTCGAGTCAAAGCTCATCATCAAAACACCCACCTACTTGGCGATGGAGAATCCAGAGAATGCCCGGATCACCATCAACGGCCACAAGCTACCTGTCCGTGAAGAAAAGCTGTCTTGGTGGGTCGATGAGGACATCAAGACTGTAGCAGTGCCGAAGAGGACTATTCGCAAGGGCAAGAACGTGATCGAACTGAGCATGCCGTTCGGAGTATTAACGAACCTCGAGAGAGTCTATCTGCTCGGCAGTTTCAGTGTCGATCTCAAGGATAACTTACCAGTAGTGCGTGAGCGTCGGCAGAGTTTCGGATGGGGAGACATCGTTACTCAGGGCCATCCCTTCTACGCGGGCAACGTTACTTACAACTGCACCTTCTCGCTGACCTCCCCGTCAAACGTCACGCTCTCTGTCCCGCAGTTCGCCACACCAGTCGTAAAAGTGCAGTGGGACAAGAAGAATACTGGTCACATTGCACTGCAGCCGAGGAAGCTGGATCTTGGGGAGCTCGACGTAGGGAAACACGAGATTTCTATTGCGGCGTTTGGATACCGTTACAACTCGTTTGGTCACATTCACTTGGTCGATGGATATTTTGGGTGTTGGCCTGATCAATGGCGAAGTAAGTGTCTTCAATCAACCCGGTGCCATTATTTTACTGACCAGACAACAGCTGGAGGAGCAGCCTGGAGCGAGGAATACAGGCTGAGACCGACTGGAGTGTTGGAAAAGCCTTCGCTGTTGGTCGAGGCGAAGCCCGATGCTGGCGAAGATTGGATTGTGCTTGCTGAATAGTTGAAAAACATGCATATCAGGGGAACATTGAGTCCGCGTGGCTGATGTATGCTGTTGGGAATGTATGTTGCTAAGAAGGTAGTTTGGATACCGAACAGACATACCCACTCAACCCTTGAGTATTCCTCCGTGAAGGCGCATCCCCTTGTCTCTTCATGCAATCACATTCAACCGCTGATCCCATGAACCTGAAGAAATATGGGCTGACTTCCTTCATTGCCGATATTTACTGGTACACCATATCTGTCCTGGGAGTCCGGAAGCGAGTCCGCAGACCACAGAGTTCCAACGCCAATCAAGTTGAGGTCAGCGCCGCTCAACTGTCGAAATGTTAGCTTCACTAACTGAAATCATCCAAATTTCCAGTACGTACGCCGAATAGTGACCTTTCACCCTCAGCTTGCCAGCAGACGAAGCTGCCGTTGGCAGCGCTACAAGGCTCGTAGCCAAAGATGTAGTTCGTCTCGGCAGGGTCGCCGACAGTGTTGTAGGGGTAGCAGACTAGTTTGTTCGTAACGAAGTTCCCGTAGCCGTTGATGCAACCGATTCTCTGCCCGTTTTGAAAGGCGAGGAGTTCGAAGGTGCGAGGGAGCGTGGCTAATACTGCGGGAATGGCCGCAAGGGCCGGGAGGAAGTTGGTGAATCTCATGTTGATTAAGCTGTGGGACGGTGTTCTCTGGTCTAGAAGAATGAAGAAGAAGACCGATTGACGACTTTGAAATAGCTAGAACTGTTCCATCTTATACACTTTGTCATATTGTCTCCCCTGTAGATGCTGGGCCTAGACATGGATGGTGGTCAGCGGTGTATGCGAGTCTGAGCCGTGCCAAGGAAGGATTCAGAGAACATCCACTCGCGAGCCGCACAAGTCCGCAGGATCGCCACGCGAGTTGAAATAGGAAGGAAGAATATTCAAACTCCACTTCTTGTATCCTACAGAGAGTCGGTCTAAGTCGCACGTCGTGTATGCGTGTCAGACGACGAATCATTGACCTGGTTTCCCGCATGCACCCGAAATTAGTCTGTCAGAAGATCTTCCTCCATGGCGGAGATAATCACCCCACGTATTGCTAGAAGACACCTTCAAGGAGATCGCAGAAACACGTTTATCGTACTAGTTAAGAAAGCACACCAAATGTTCGACGTGAGATGTCTGATTCAGACGATTGGCTACCCCAGCTAACTCAATACCCGCATAGAAGTGACCGGCAGTTCCCATGAGATGCTCTTTGCGTATGCATCGTGTACTTGGAAGAGTAAGGTTTTACTTGCTCCTTTCACTCAGCTGAGCGGCAGCCCAATTCCTCATCCTACTGGTCGCATCGCCAACGCGCCCAGTCTGCCCCTCAAGCAAAATGAAATCATGCGCTTCGTGCTCTGCCAGCTCAACAAGAAGATCCAGGTCATTTTTACTGCAACTGATCTGCTCCGAGAATGCTCGGATGTCATCTCTGAACGCTTCCTGTTGACCACCAGTGATGTAAAGACTCTTGGTAGCCGAAGACATCTCGTCCAACCAAGCCAGGTCTCCGTCCATGGGCATTGCCATCGCAAGATGGCTCTCATCGGTCTTGGTCTTAGCGGGGAACCGAGGATGCAGGAACTCAGCTGTAGCATGAGACATGCAGGTCTGAGTGAGCATGTCCACGTAGTTGTTCTCCTGGAACGCCGGTGTAGTGGTCTTGCTGGTCAACCAAGGCGACACCAGGAATATTCCCGCAAGTCGTTCGTTGAGGCTGATGGGGGCGATCTCGAGATGAGCTGGGGCGCAGATGTGCCGAGCGACTTGACAAGCCAGATTTCCGCCCGCGGAGTCGCCGCCAATGATGAGGTCGCCTGGTCTGATGCCCGACTGAAGCAGATGGTTGAGTGCAGCAATGCCCTGACGGAGCTGAGTCGGATATCGAGCTTCTGGTACCAGAGTGTACTGAAGAATCGCGACGGCCACGTCCGTCTTGGCTCCTGGGCCTCCAGCGACGTATGCTTCCCAACACCAACCGACGTGACCAGGTAGAAGCGGGACGACGTATCCACCTCCGTGGAAGAAGAGTACGAATTTCTTAGCTTTTCTGCGGTTGCCTAGCCACATGATGGCCCCGTCATTGTCTGGGAGCATCTCGACATCTCTCTTGAGCTTATCGGCGAGCTCCGGATTAGACTTGCGTTTCTTCTCGATCCATGTCTCATAGGTGATGAGTGTCGGAGGTTGTAGGAACTGGATCTCCCTCGCTTTCATACTTCCCAGCACAAAGCGATAGAAGGCACAGAAAGCGAAGAGCCGGAGAGACATCCCCCTGGCGATAGCAAATGGTACTCCATAGATGAAGTTCCAGAGCAGTTGGAATGGTGCTAGCATTCACGTTAGCCACATTGGAGTTCTGTTGAAATTGTCCGAAAACCATTACCTCGAAAGACCAGCCGCAATAAAAGGTCCCGCCGTTCACCCAGTGACAGATGCGGTCTTGAGATGCGTGCTGGCATCTTGGATGGATACTTCTCGGTCGCTCACCAAAACTTCTGTTTGCGAGAGGTTGAGCTAGGTTCGTCTGGTGTCGAATGTGATCCAGAACCAGTGAACAACATAAATGGGCAAAAACGTATCGAAGGGTGAGTAAGCAACAAGCGCCGAATACCGAGTGTCTTCGTTCTTCTTGAGACGCGGGTAATCGATTGCTTTGACTCTAGAAGGCAGAATGAGGAGTCTTCAAATTGACAGTGACAGGTCTGTCCGGGCGCGAGACGGAGGCACGGGCTCGTGGAGAAAACGTGCCTCGCGTCAAGTACCGACGACTCCGGCCGAGGCATAAGAGAGGCGGAGAGCTGCGTCAAGAAAGCTTCGCACTCGTTTAACGTCGTAGACAAACCGTTTCTTCGTCGCGTCTGAGCTTTACACCGCCTCGTTTGGGTTTAGAGTACTTCGCTTACCACGCTGAATGGTTCTTTCCGATTGACGTGCAGCAGACAGATGCACAGATCCCGGACTTTTCATGCTTTGGAACATCCTCGGTGAGAGATTGGTCGGTTGCATCTTGTGGTGTGGGAGCCGGACCTCGGCATGGCTGCCCGCGGGTAGCAATTGCAGGGATCGCGGTTGCTTTCACAAGAGGTTGAAACGTGATCGTTTCGACTACAAGATTGGAGCTTAAGCCATCGATGAGAAATGAAGAATTGGAGAGGAATTAGACATCAAGAGTTCTCACTTCAATTCATTTCAATTACTCAACAAACGCCAGAACGTGCAATGGCTTTCTCACGGGAAGGGTTCACTGTGGACGTCATCGCGAGATGGATGAAGAAATCAGTTCTCAACCCATTTTTGTCCATTCCATTTGCAGCTTACTTGGCGCTTGCATCATCGAAAAGCTTCGGATCTGCCGGTCTCCCTGGGCTGAGAGCCGACAGCATTCAACGCCTTGTCTACCTCACAGCACTCGCAGGGTTTGTCCTTTCAACAACCGAGTATCTCAACAAATGGTCTGCCAACAACTGGACAACAGACAACACATGGGATTGGGATAAGGAAATCATCGTTGTAACTGGAGGAAGCGGCGGTATCGGCGCCAGCATCATCAAGCACATCTTGGCCCGCAACCCAAACGCCACCATCGTTGTCGTCGACCTCGCGCCGTTGTCGTGGGAACCTCCGCGCGGTTCCAGGGTTCACTACTTCAAGTGCGATCTTACCGACACCGCGGCTCTGAAAACCTTATGCACACTCATCCGGACCCAGGTGGGAGACCCGACGGTTCTCATCAACAATGCAGGAATCGCCCGCGGAGTAACCATCATGGAGGGCTCGTACGCAGATGTTGAGCTCACCATCAAGACCAACCTCATCGCACCGTTCCTGTTGACAAAGGAATTTCTTCCTTACATGGTTCGCCGCAACCATGGTCACATCGTCAGCATCGGATCAATGAGCTCTGTCGTGCCTCCGGTCAGAATTGCGGACTACTCCGCGACCAAGGCTGGGCTCACGGCTATGCATGAGGTAAGTTTGGTCCCCTCCGCTGAAGATGCGATGATCTAACAACGAATCAAGTCCCTCCAGCTGGAATTGAAGTACATTCACAAGGCCCTCAAAGTGCGTCAGACACTGGGAATCTTCGGCTTCATCCGAACGCCGCTAGTCCAGTTCAACCCTGGTCAACCTCACTTCGTTATGCCTCTACTCCATGTAGACACTGTTGGTGAGGCAATCGTGGACGGCCTTTACAGCGGATGCGGAGGGACGATCTACCTACCTCGTATCATGTCTCTGGTCACCGCCTTGGTAAGTTCAGTAAAATATCATACTTAATGAGCAGCGCTGACGGGTTTACATAGAGAGCCGGGCCAGAATGGATTTGGCGCCTTGCTCGGGAGACTACTGCCAGCGCGAAGGACATACCCTTCACACCGCGTCAGAAGATCGATGAGAAAACTGGTCTTTTCGACTTGGGAGAGGCTAATAAGGTAGAGGTCAACGGTGTAAACGGGGGAGGATTGTAATTTTGAGCTATTTATATGAATGCGAATGCGTCCCGTGATTCAAGTAACGAGGTTGTGTTGCATTGCGTAATAATATAAACTTCCTCAATTACTCAGCACAGTTGTTCTACGGGAGTGTGACATGACATAGATTGTGAGACGTGGACTTCAAATTTTCATTGGCCACGACGAAATATGCAAGCTTATAGCTCATCAAAGGAGCGTCGAATCTTTCAAATGAACTAATCAAAGTTTCCATCGATAGCTCTTCTATGCTCACAGTTTTCGGGCGCTTTTCAGCTCAACATTCATGACTTCAGTAGTCGCCAAAATTTCGACGTCAAATTTGTCACAGCAAGAAACCATCTACCGCCAAAGCTCCCTCGCCGGGTGTGTTGTATGGCCTTGTTCTTACAACTGCACGGGACATGTGTTCAGGTTTCACCGTCCGACCGATCCTCGCATTCCCAGTAACATGTAACATGGATATGCTGGCAAGTCTCGGACGACATCCTGCGAAACGAGGATACAGCCGAGGCGCGGGAGATCCGGGGTAAAATCTCCAACAAATCGACTACGACATACCTATGACCCCCGCTCATGCACATGGTGTGGCAGGGTGAATTAGCTTTTCACGTTATTTTACATCTACAAAACTCGTTTGAACAGTCGCTTCACCGTGAATTTCCACGAAGGTTTGATACAATCGTTGCTGGAGCTCTCATGGCAGTCATGGATTCGAAAGCCTCTGTGCCTAGCTACAGCCAGTTTGCCTGCGTCGGCACTGGATTCTCTGGAATCGGACTCGGGGCGACGTTGAGAAGATGGTATAATATTGGCGACATCCGCTTCTTCGAAAGGAACGATGACCTTGGCGGAACCTGGCTCGTGAATCAGTACCCAGGTATGAAAGTATCACTCATCAGTCCTCTGGCTGCGCTTTACTAACGTGAGAGTCAGGTTGTGCATGCGATATTCCAAGCGCGCTGTACAGCTTCTCGTTTGAGTCGAATCCGGACTGGAGTCGCGTTATGCCACCACACGATGAACTATGGCGATATCTCGACCGCGTTGCAAGGAAATACTCACTGAGAGATAAGATGACCTTCGGAGTCAACGTCCAACAATGCGAGTGGTCGGAAGCTCGTCAGCGCTGGCTATTGACCATACGACGGTCTAAGGACAACAGTGTTTTCACTCATGAGTGTCAATTCCTTTTCACAGCGACTGGTCAGTTAATGCAGCCAAGACCTCTTGATATTCCAGGATCGGAGAGGTTCAAGGGCTACATCACCCACTCATCGCGTTGGGACAAGAACGTTGATATCACTGGGAAGAGGGTCGTGGTGTTTGGCAACGGCTGCACAGCTTCACAGATTGTGCCGGCGATCGTAGGCAGTGCCAAACGCGTCGTCCAGGTCATCAAGACGAAGCACTGGGTCTTACCGTCGGTTGACTCAGCAAACACGAATTTCATGAAGACTGTATTCCGCAAGATACCGGGAACCATGAAGATCCAACGCTTTCTAATTTTCGCATTCGCGGAAGACAATTTGCGTGGATTTTACATGACGGAGTCAGGGACACGGTATCGCAAGCGGGCTCAGGCGCAGGCGGAAAGATACATGAGAGAGACAGCGCCGGCGAAATATCACGACAAACTCATCCCGGACTTCGAGTTGGGTTGCAAGCGTCGCATCTTTGACTCTGGGTACTTGAAGAGCTTGCATTCGGAAAACTTTGACTTGGTGGATGATCCAGTGCTCGAGATCGTCTCACAAGGAATCCGAACCAAGGACGGCGTCATCGAAGCTGGCATAATTGTGGTTGCGAATGGCTTCGTGACGAATAACGCCGTTGGTGGTTTGAAGGTTATCGGTCGTAGTGGGAACACGATCGATCAGCACTGGGAGTCTATGGGCGGACCGGAAGCATACAACTGTACCGTTCTGTCCGATTTTCCAAACTTCTTCTGTCTTCTCGGCCCCAACTCTCTCACTGGCCACAATTCTGCGATCATTGCTGCCGAGAACTGCATCAACTACTCTCTACGCATTATCAGGCCATTGCTAGAAGGCAAAGGCACGATTGTCGAGGTCAAGCGAGATTCTGAACAGGAATATGTGAACCAGATGCAGAAAGATATGCAGAATACGGTCTGGTTCACAGGATGCAATAGTTGGTACTTGAGGGGCTCAAAGGAAGGGAGGAAGTGGAACGGGTCGACTTATCCTTACTCTCAAGTATACTTGTGGTACAGGTGCTTGTTTCCCAAGTTCGATGACTTGGAGATACGCGTACGTTTCACTCTGATTCCCGTCGTGATAAACTCACAAGCGCTAACAAATACCAGGGACCGTCTCATCCCAGTCAGGTGAGGCGAAGAACTTGGCGGAAACCGGCATTGTTGGCGGTGATGGGATACATTATGTCCATTGTTTTGGGCGTCAATCGGAACCCCGTTACGAATAATCGCTATTGGCTGCAACTTCGAGTAATTGTGCAGTTGCTACGGGCCATGCTTATCATGAAGTTGCGCAAGCTTATCGGGGGAAAAGAGTAGACAAGAAATACAAACGCCGGGTACGTGTTCAGGCCTGCTGGAAATACTGTGGCACTGGACTTCTCGCTGCCATGAGGATCATGCCGGCCCTCCTGTCTTAATTCGGAGTGTCTTGGCGGTGAGATTGCCGGCCGGCCTTCGAATCCCGGGAGCAACATTAAAGGTCGCCTCATCCCCCGGAACCGTCAAGATAAGAAGTGGACGAGGTGCCAACGACTAACCAAGAAAATACCGCCATGTTACTACTCAGCCTTGACACTTCACATGAGCTCCGATGTCTCGGCACGTCCTCGTGAGCCAGATAATCATGCAAAGTGGCCGGACCGGATCGGCGCCCAGCAAGAAACCCCGTGTTACATCGCGCCTCCACCTTCACCGCGTTCATGGTAAACTACTAGTCCGAATGAGGGAATTTTAACAGGACGCTATCTGTGGAGAGAGTGATAAGTGAGGGGAATCCTTGTCCCGAATCAAGTCCCCTTCCGAAAGCCGTCATTCTGTTATTACACACACCAAAGGGGCGATAAGTGTAGAAGACTGATATAAGAATTGGGACAGCCACCAGTTAGTTATGGCTGCCAAGTCCTCCTCTCAACTGGAGGACGTCAACACGTCCTGAAATTCTTTTTTGACCAATTTTGACGCCAGCACAATGGCCGATCTTGAAGGCAACAAGGTCCTTGCGATCGATTCGAAGATGAAAGACAACGCCTCTTTTTCCGAGCCGCAACACGCGTCGTCACATACCACCGACAATAACCCTACGGTCAACGCTTCCGGACATGTCCAAGAGCTCGAACGAAACTACAGTCTACTTTCTCTGGCTGGTCTTGGGTTGATCGTGGGCAACGTGTGGCCAGCGATCGGGGGCTCCATCCTTGTTGCCATTTTCAACGGCGGCCCTCCAGGCGTTCTCTACGAATTCCTGGCAGTTTCTCTCTGCTACTGGACCGTTGCTTCGAGTATTGCCGAGTTGGCCAGCGCCGTACCATCTTCAGCTGGTGTTTATCACTGGGCATCCATTACGCCTGGGCCAAAATTGGGCCGGGTCGTTGGATTCTATGCGGGGTGGTGGAACTTCCTCGCGTGGACCCTTGGATGCGCCAGCATGTCAAGCATCTTCGCCAATACCGTCGTTCAAATGTATCAACTCGGCCACCCGGACCTCGTCATTCAGTCATGGCATATCTTCATCGCATTCCTTCTCACGACGTGGGCTGCGTGTGCCCTCGTCTGCCTCGCGAACAATGCGATCCCGTTGTTCAACAAAGTGGGAGTCTTCTTCATTCTCGGGTCGTTCATCGTCACTGTCGTGGTCATGGCAGTCATGCCGAGCCTGGGCGGTCGACCAGGATACGCAACATCAGCCTTCGTGTGGAAGGATTGGAAAGTTGATCCCAATATCGGCTACTCAGACGGGTTCGTCTTTGTCGCTGGCATGTTGAACGGAGCCTACAGCGTCGGCGCCGTCGATGCCACGACACATCTTGCCGAGGAAATCCCACGACCAGAACGGAATGTTCCCATTGCCATCGCTCTACAGGTCGTCATTGGGTTTGCCACCGGGTTCTGTTACCTTGTGGTCATTATGTACGCGATCAACGACTACGATGCCCTGTTCGCTTCCTCCTTCCCCATCGCTGAAATTTACCGGCAAGGAACCAACTCAACCGTGGGCGCCATCGGCCTTCTCTCCCTCATCTTAGTCTGTATCGGACTAACAGTTGTTGGCTTGTACGTCACTTGCGGCCGGACACTCTGGGCCTTGGCCCGAGATGGGGCGACGCCTTTTCCAAAGGTGCTTGGCAGCGTCAACCATCGTTTGCACATGCCATTGTGGGCGACGTTGATAACAGGAGTCCTCGTCACAATTCTTGCTTGCATCTATCTCGGAAGCCAACAGGCCTTCTCGGCGTTAGTCGGCAGTTTCGTGCTGGCCTCAAGCAGCTCATTTCTCGCTGCGATTCTTCCCAATTTGTTGACCGGGCGGAAGAATATTGTCTATGGCTCTTTCCACATGCGTGGGTGGATAGGCTTCGTTGTGAACGGGGTGAGCTGTGCGTACATGCTGGTGTGGTTTGTTATCTACTCATTTCCGGCCTCACTTCCCACGAGCGCGGCAGCGATGAACTGGGCTCCTGTGATATGGGTAGCGGCTACTCTTCTGGTAACAATTTGGTGGTTCGTGGGGGCCGGCAAGGACTACAAGGGTCCGGTCACGACAGGTGGTGTGGTGACGATTGACGGCATCTGAGAAGAGGAAAAACTACTCGCTCAACCATTTCTTAAAGTTTAGCCCAGATGCGTATAGGGGATATTAGTTTGAAAGACACGATCTGTGATTACCACAGTCCGACTTCTATAACTTTCTCGTGTAACAACTTATCGACTTCGGCCTCGGTTTGCGCCCGCTTCTGAATGTCCCAATACGTCTGCATCACACCCAAGGATGTTGCATGAAGGTTCCAATACCGGCCAGGTTGAGGTTGACAGTGAACCTTGGAGAGTATATCGTGCACCAACTTGAGATCGTCGGGTTCCTGAACATGACGACCAAGCATGTAGGCTGGCCAAATGAGCACACGGGAGTTGTGCCTTTCTAATCCTGGGTGAACGCGACGAACAAGACCCAGAAGCTCTTGAGTAAAAACCTCGACTTTTTCTGGGCAATTCAGTTGCTCGTACTGGTGCAAGAGCGCTGCTATTGAGAAGCAGTGCCAGATGTCAGTCTTTGTATCGTTGTTCCCAAGAGGTAGGCGACGAATGAAGTTGACCAGTTGATCTTCGACGTTTTCGTTCCGTGACAGCTGGGCAAAGATGTCCAAAAGCGGACGCGGAAGTCCAGTTATCTCCTCGACACCCTCGCCTCCGGAACAATGCGTCGCCCAAATGTGAAGTGGTTTTGAACGTCGGCCTACGATCCAGATGTCAATATCGAGGCCTCCCAGTCGTTCAAGGAGTTGCTTCCGGCTCGGTCCCCTAGTTTCCTGAGACTCCGGCTGAGCGGATAGAACGAGGGAAAGAATTTGCTCAAGGCAAGGTGTCCAGATATATCCAGCCCACATCTGTTCACGCAGTTTAGCTGAGGGTATCTTTTCTGTAATATTAGCCATATGGGCAGCTTACTGATACTTGCGACATGAGTGTCATGGCAAAGGTGCATGTTGTGACAGAACGCGTGCTCGCTGGTGAGTTGATCAGCTGCATTGTCTCCGAGATTGCCGATTTGACGCGAGAGAGCGATGAGACTTCGCAGCAATCTCCCCATGTCGACATCAGGGCGTCTATGTTGGAGGCGATAGCAGGGTATAACCAGTATAACGCCATGATATCGGCTTTGGTTTGTCCCACTGCGTCATTGGCTGGGTCCGTCCAATGCAGGAGATTGTGTCCTTCGGCCATAACTGCATTTCATAAGGTTGGCCTATTATTCAATATGGGCGATTCGGGGTCCTACTCACACAACTCTACAAGTTGTTTTCGCGTTGGTCGATTCGCACAGTTGCATAGAGGGCTTTCGGTGACATTCACCGCCCCACTCGAACTCGGCGCGACTTCACCCACGTGGTTGCCGAGTGTGTCGTCATCTGTTGTCGATGAAGTTTTCCATTTCCACCGTGGTGAATAGTCGCATTTGAAGCTGAGCCGGCTGCACCGCCCACATGCAGGATGGACTTCGTCACACTTTCGGCTGACCTTGACGCACTGCCGACATCCGTTGCGAGACCGAGTCCGGGCAGTTCGGCGGGTGGTATTTGTCTTCGGGCTCATTTTCCCGGGGAAAGCGGATCCCGCGGGGAACAAAACTTGAGTCGAAGTTTGAGTGCCGTTCAGGTTGAGGGATCACGCTAGTACTTATATAGCAAATTTAAGAGGATGAGAGGAAGATCGGCAGGGTTGGACGTGGAAGTCAAAGGACCGGGCCATAGATAAACATGACATCCACCAATGACAAAAGACCGGCTCCGGGCCGGTTGAGCTTCCCCGCATTCCGAACCACCCGAGTCTCGCCCATCGTGGGTTTTCACTCGGTAAGACGCCTGTATGAGAAATACGCCTATGTAATTGGCCATCGGCAGTTCTCGATACGATCAGTTCTCTTGCTTGTTGGCGCCTGGCTGGATTTCATAAGTAGTATTTCAAGCGGGATGGAACTTGGCTGAGTACACAGAAAGCCCCCCGTGACCTCTAGAATGGATGTAGATGATACACGAAAGCTTACTCCAATTGTTCTCATTGCTGTGAGAGACCCGAGGCCGTAGAGTCTCTGATGCTTTCAGAACTAGCTTCTTTCCTGATCAGAAAGTCATTGTTGTTCCGAGTTGGCCTCTCTTTTTTTTTCTGAGGTACCTATCTTTTCTGAGAGAGGGCAATTCATTGGACATAATGATTATTTGGCAAACGTCCTTTTGTTCGTGACTTAAACACTATCCCTCTTGGTGTATTGCAATCTTCCTTATCTTTGCCGCATATGTTTGCCGTGCATCATGTCCCGATATGCCGCGCACTTTTCATTTAGGGTGCATCATCTGTATCATTCGTTTATCGAGCTTCATTGGTTTACCAAGGGCTACCAGGTCTCTTGGCATGATATCACTGCCTTTTTGATAATAAAACCATCCTCCTATTTTTACCTGCGTTGGAAATGACTGCATTGTATGTGCAAGATCTCCAGTCCCGCTTCTTGATTAGGGCTTCGCTGTAGACTCACGCAGTTGCCCAAAACGAATAGACCTATCAAGGCGTGGTGATTTGAAAATGCAAATGATCATTGCATCTACGATTCTACAAATCCTACATAAAGACGCTGTCTGTCGAGTTCTACTCTTAATCAAGCTTCTTCAGGCTGAAACTGAGTTCGCCTTTGATCTGCAGGAATATGAAGACTTTCAGAATCATTAAGGCCGTGGGCTTGGTGTATCTTGCATCCAGCGTCACGCAACACTTTGTTTCTGCCGAAATCACAGGCCTGGATGCTACTCTACCAGGCTTTGAATGGACGCCTCCCAAATCACCCAGGAAGTTTGAGGGCCCTGACGTCGCCTGGTCTCGCCCCATGGGTCTCATTGAGCGCCCTGGTGAGATTCCTGATGACGATGAAATCTGGGTTTACTGCAACAGATATTCATACGATATCGGTGATACGGTTAAGCTGAAAGTTCACACAACGGCAGCCACATACGACATCGACATCATCCGAGACGGCAATAAGCCGCGCACTGTTTACAGCAAGCAAAACCTCACCGGAGTTCAACAGGAGACTCCTGAGTATGCTTTCGCCAGGGGCTGCAATTGGAAAACGACTCTCAACATCACGCTGGATCGTACATGGGAACCGGCATTCTATCTCGTCATAGTGCGTATACAGGAGGCTACAGGCCGCCCAAAAGAACGCGAAGGCTTCTTCATCGTCAAATCGTCTCAAAGACATGGAAAAGAGAGTCAAAACACCACTGAGGAAGACAATGCCGACTTGGTCTTGATCCACACTACCTCGACACTGAACGCGTACAATGACTGGGGTGGTGCGAACCACTACCGCGGGATCCCTGACGGATATCTGAACGACATTGCCAGCTACGTCGTTTCCACCCAACGCCCCATCTCTCGCGGCCATCTCAGGATCCCAAGGAACGCCCCTCGGCAATCGACAGGCGACTATGCGTATCAGGTCCCGCGGGGCTGGAGTCCTCGCTACATGAACTACGAGTACGCTTGGTACTTCAGATACTCCAGACACTACGCAGACGCAGGCTGGGCTTCATACGAGCGACCCTTTACAGTCTGGGCCGAACGTGAGGGTTATAGGGTGCATCATCTCACGCAGGCCGATCTTCACGCCGAGCCCAACGCTCTCAACGGCTATTCGACGGCAGTCATTGTTGGCCACGACGAGTACTGGTCGTGGGAAATGCGTGACACACTCGACAACTACGTCGACGCTGGAGGCAACCTGGCGCGCTTTGCTGGCGACTTCCTCTGGCAAGTCCGTCTCGACGACAAGCTCGAAGCGCAGTGGTGCTACAGGACCGTGGACGCCGATCCCACTGCAAACCAGTCACGAGTGACGTCTTCTTGGGATACCGTTGGCCGACCTGCTGCTTTGACGATGGGGCTCACCGGTATCACTGGCGTCTACGCTCGATACGGTGTCGCGCCCCCGCGGTCTCACGGCGGCTTCCAGGTTTATCGAGATAAACACTGGGCTCTCAACGAGACCGATTTGTACTATGGTGATGTCTTTGGGATGAACCCGATCAATATCTGCGCTTTCGAGGTGGATGGCGTTGATTACACCTTTCGCGGGGGTCTTCCGTTCCCCACCGGCACGGATGCCGCTCCGCTGGACATGGATATCATCGCTATGTGCCTTGCGGTTCGCGTTGAGGAAGACCGTTACGGCGGTATGGAGCCCATTGGTTCTGGAGCATTATCGTAAGTCTCGAGTCAATATCATCATATCCCGCCACGTCCCTTTCAACCCTTTCCCTACTTTACTCGTTCTCGGCCTGTGGAATTTGCGGATAACTGACATTTTACTGGCTTTAGCGGTTCCGCACTTAATTCCGAACCTCTGTATGGATCTGGTATGGTCGTGAACTTCAAGCGCGGGAAAGGCGAGATCTTCAACGCAGGTTCATGCGAATGGGTCGCCGGTCTCATAAGACGCGATGATATGACCATGGTGATAACCAGAAATGTCTTGAATAAGTTCATAGGGAAGAGCATTCCGAACCCAGATCTGTATTAATCCAGCTATGGCCTCCCTCTACCGTAGACATGCTCCCGGTAGCTCATAGTTAAAATTGACGATCTCAACTCCTCTCATTCAGCTCTCATCGAGCTGTTGTTGTGTGTCGTTGTACTTTAAATGATGGCTTCATAGCCGATTCTGCTGGTGAGATAAGAAAAGGACTTCTGCGAACCCATTTCGCGTCATTTCCTCGCTTGTTGGCGTCAACAGCTGCATACTAATCGGTCTCTCCGAGAAACAGCGGTGCGCGGAGCCAATTAGGAAGGTCTTTGGGCCTGAGAATCCCCTGTGCCGCTCGTATTTAAGCCCCGGGACACTCAACATCCCACATCTATCCGACCAGAACCCCTGCATATCGTACTGTTGAGGCGGCGTTTTGGCGCTAGACCCCGGGAATGTTTTGAACGCGTAGTACCCATCGCGGTGGGAAATCCCCTAAATGTCAGCCAGTCCGAAATGCCATCGGTGATGAGGAAACTCGCAGTTAATCTTAAACCTTTGATCTCAAATACTTCACCGCATCGGCTTGTTATTGCAATCTGAATCTCTTAGTGAAGAAATGGATATTATGTCCATCTAGGCGTTTCCATCATGGCTGCTCTTCCCCAGTACCTCTCTGCGGCGTCCTCAGTGGTCTTGTTATTCCTACTGCCATTTCGCGTGTCTGATTTGCGATTGGAAACAATCAAGGTCGTCCCGGGACGCCATGGCTACGTCAAATTGGTATCTCAAACTTTCAGAGTCAGTGGGACATCTACATGGACAGAACTAATTTGGGGACAGATATTTTCCATTTTGTTGGCTTTCATCAATCTCCTACTGTTACCGGTGGTCTTCGTTGACGGGACTCTGCCGCTGACTGCTGGCCCACTGTCTGCGTTAACGTCTGCAATTGCATCCATAGGCTTTTGCCCATTGCTCTTTCTCGAACATGCCCGCTCCGTCAAGCCATCAACCATCGCAACCATTTACCTGCTGGCATCTTCATTATGTGACTTCGCCCAGTTAGGGACCACATTCTATGAGGATGGAATCTCCAAGGCAGACGGGCTGATCGTGGTGATTCTTATCACCAGGCTCGTGCTGCTGGTCTTGGAGAACCAGGGGAAACGGTCCATTCTGCGGGATCCATATGACACACTACCCCCAGAGCAGTTGGCCGGCACTTTCAACAAAACATTCCTCTGGTGGATCAATGCAATCATCATCAAAGGAAATAAGTTCATACTGACAGAAGATAATCTTCCATCTATCGACCAGAAGCTCTCATCGGAATTGCTGCGTCGTCGAGCTCTGCAAGCATGGGATCAAAGACGTAAGTCAAAAGCTGCCTTCGTCAGGATATGACAATGGTGAAGTCACTAACAACCACGCAGCCAAACCTGAGACGAGAACAACTTTGCCGAGTGCCTTAGCTCGAAGCCTCCTGTCCGCCTTTCTTGCCCCCGTTCTTCCTCGACTAGCCCTGATCGCCTTTCGCTACGCCCAACCAGTTCTTATCAGTACTGCGATTCGCTACATAGGCCAACCATCCATCGAAGTATCGGCCTCGGGGCTTTCCATCATCGCACTAGCTGCAGTCGTGTACATCGGCTTGGCTGTAAGTTCTCGAGGAATCTAAGCTGCAACTCGCATGACTCAACGAACTGTATAGCTATCCAGCGTTCTGTACTATCATCGTCTGAATCGACTGAAGGTAATGACAAGAGGCGCAGTTGTCGGTCTCATCAACAACAAGCTGCTGATGCAGCATTCCACCGGATATGATGACGCCCGGGCTGTGACTTTGATGAGCACTGATGCAGAGAATGTCGGCCACAGCGGCCGAATGTTCCATGAGACCTGGGCACAGGTTGTAGAAGTTGTGATTGGTACAGTTATGCTGGCCCGACAGGTTGGATGGGCTTGTGTAGTACCGTTTGTCATGATTTTCTGTGAGTATCACTCGTGAGGATGATTCATCTACGATGATGCTAATATTGTCACAGTCTGCTCTCGAATGAGCCGGTACCTGGCCAAGAACCTACAATGGAAGCAGAAGGACTGGAACGAAGCCACTCAAAAACGCTTGGCGATGACGGCCTCGATGGTCTCTTCCATGAAGAGCTTGAAGATGCTTGGAGTCACAAACTACACGGAGTCTCTGGTTCGTGATCTGAGAATGAAGGAGCTAGACATGGCCAAGCGAGGTATGATTTCACGTTAAGCCCCAATACGCTTCATTGACTGACTTTCGCTAGTCCGGTGGATGATGGTTTTCTCCAACGCCAGTGGTTCGTATTAGGCCTGACCGAAGCCTTCCTTACATCGCTTACAATTCGCAGCAAATGCACTTGGGATATTCTCCCCAGTTCTTACCCTCGTCGTATTCGTGGTGATCGCCACATTCAATCACTCCCGGCTTGACACGGAGACCGCTTTCACGACTACTGCGTTGCTTGGACTCGTAACGCATCCAGCAAACATGATTATGTCGATTATACCACAGGCAATTGGCTCTCTAGCCGCCTTCGAACGCATCCAAGAGTATCTCGTACAGCCGCCTCGTGTTGATCAGAGAGTGGTCTTGAAGAAGACCCAGGAAGAGCCCACAGAAGCCACGCCGGCCCTTTGCCTTCAGGGCGTCACTATTCAACAGAGCACATCGGCATCTCCAATTCTAACCGACATCAACTTGACTATCCAAACAGGATCAATTGTGATGTGTTCTGGCCCGGTGGGTAGCGGCAAATCTATCTTGGCCAAGACGTTGATCGGCGAATTCCGCGTGGCTTCCGGAACCGTGTCAGTCTCGTCAAAGCGTATTGCTTACTGCGATCAGTCGGCTTGGCTGCCCAGCGGAACGCTGCAGGAAGCCATCTGCGGCTTCATGCCGGAAGACACAGATTGGTTCGACGAGGTCACTCGACTCTGCTGCCTCGACGAGGACCTCGCGGAGCTTCCCCTCGGAAGTCAAACACAAGTAGGAAGTCGTGGCTCAAATCTCTCAGGAGGACAGCGACAACGCGTCGCGCTTGCGCGCGCGTTGTATTCCCGCTGCGAAATCGTGGTCTTGGATGACACTTTCAGTGCTCTTGACGGCAAGACTGAGCAAAAGATTGTGGCGAATCTGTTTGGTTCAGAGGGCGTTTTCAGAAACGCCAAATCAACCGTCTTCGTCATTGCACGCTCCGGTAAGTTCAAAACTACTTCATGTGTATGATGAGTCCTCTACCAATACTGATACTTCATAGCTCAATTCTCCAAACTCGCCGACAGTTTGATACTTCTTGATGGCGGCTCGATCACCTACCAGGGCACTTGGGATGACCTATCGAAAACGCCAGACATTTCTCGCAAGTTCCAGGCGGATAAATCACATGACACCGATATTGAGGACAATGCAAAAGTAGACAAAACTGTGCAGAGCCAGAGCTTGAAGGTTGCAGAAGCCGTGTCAGATCTTAGCAGGGCAACAGGAGACTTCTCACTCTACGGTACGGTCATACACCGATATGCCTGACATACGAAAATTTGCTGACACGACAACTGTCTCTAGGGTACTACATGAAGGCTGTGAGCATGCGCAACTTCATGCTCCTTCTGGCCTGCACTGCATCCTACTCATTCTTCGTTACGTTCCCTCAATACTGGCTTCAAAAGTGGACCGAGGCACCCGAGTCGAAAACATGGTTCTTCGTTGGAGGCTATCTCATCTCGACATTTCTGGCGTGGACTGCTACGAATGGTTCCATGTGGTAACTTTGCCCCGTTGTCTGTTGTTTACAAGAACACCGCTGACAATTGAACAGGTCTACTTGGATTCTCGTTGCGCCTCGCTCAGGAGCCGAACTCCATCGCCGGCTTCTTTCAACTGTCATTGGGTTTGTGCAGCCCCTCCAGGCCTGCAGCGCGGTTCATTGACGAGACTCAGGGCACCTCTCTCATTCTTCTCCAACACTGACACCGGTGTGATACTCAATCGGTGAGTACAAGTAATCTGATATGGAAGAAAACTGCTAAATCTTCACAGATTTAGCCAAGATATCCAGCTTGTTGACAGACAGCTTCCACCTGCAATCTTATCCATCTCCAACCGTTAGTTGTTTTCACCCAGGTCCAATGAATGTTTACTGACACATCTGATGTCAGAGGTCTTCAAGCTCACCGTTCAGTTGGTATTATTGTTTAGTGCCCAGAAGCTGATGACAATGACTCTGCCTCTCTGTGTGGTGATCGTCTACATCGTGCAGAAAGCGTACCTGCGAACGTCAAGACAACTAAGATTTCTGGATCTCGAGTCTCGGTCAGCAGTCTATTCTAGCTTCTTGGAATCGGTTTGAATCTCCTCACTTCTTTCCCTTGGTCCATAGTGGTCTAACAACGTCTCAGGTCGAAGGCTTGGTGACCATCCGATCGTTCGGCTGGGAGAAACAGGCCGAAAATGCCAACATTATGTGTCTAGACAGGTCTCAACAACCTTCTTACATATTATTATGCCTCCAGCAATGGTTGTGTGTCGTCCTTGATCTTATGATTGCCGCCTTGGCAACAGGTATCATTGGTCTAGCCGTGGTGGTGAAGGGAACGACGACGGCAGGGCAGATTGGCATGGCGCTGAACGTTGTTTTGGTCGCAAACTCAACTCTGCTGAGCCTCGTGTCTTCCTGGACAAACCTGGAGATATCTCTTGGCGCTATGTATGAGTTCCCGCTGCCCACCTTCCCGACCCTGCTAATGCGAAGCAGATCCCGTTTGAAGAGCTTGGAAAACGATACTCCAAGAGAAGAACAGCCCAAGGAGGACTATGAGCCCGATCATCCTTGGCCATCTTCTGGAACTGTTGAGCTTAACAACGTCACGGCGGCATACAAGTATGAAATAACGTCTTCTAGCTACCTGGATCCAAAGCTGACTTTCTCTCAGTGACGAAGCAGTGGCTCTACGAAACGTCTCTCTCAAAACCTTGGCAGGCCAGCAACTGATCATTTGCGGCCGCACAGGCAGGTGCGTGTCTACGAGACCTGCGTTGATCTCTGCTCACCCTTTATCTAACGTACTCGCAGCGGTAAAAGCACTGTTATGTTGACGCTTCTGCGACTCCTGGATCTCAAGTCTGGAACCATCTCAGTCGACGGAGTCAACCTGGGCCTGGTGCCTCGCTCCCTTGTTAGACAGAAGTGCTTCATTACAGTCAGCCAAGATCCCTTCATCTTTGGCCAAGCCAGCCTTCGCTTCAATCTAGATGTACGTTCAATTGTCTAATAGTCCGTCTCAGACATCGGCTGACGTGCTCTACGCCACAGCCTTCGGAGTCTCTTTCAGACGAGGCCATCATCGAAGCCCTTCGGCGAACAGACCTTTGGTCGCATTTCAAGTCAGGACGCTCCGAACTTTCTCCAGTCGAAGCCAGTCAGATTTTGGACACCTCGATTGCTTCACTGGCGCAAATGTCAACCGGACAGACTCAGTTGTTTGCACTCACTCGAGCGCTTCTGAAGCTACATCAACTGAGTACTAGATCGATCTCACCGGAGACCCCGTCAACTGGCAGACGAGCCATGCCTGTTCTGCTGCTTGATGAGGCCACGGCTTCACTCGACCCAGAGACCGAATCTGTCATGCATAAAATCATACGCGACGAGTTCACGGACAAGGGTCACACGGTTATCGCCATCACCCATAGGTTGAGTGGAGTGGCTGACAGTTTACGGCAACAAGATGCAGTTGCAATTTTGTCGCAAGGGAGAGTTGAGAAGGTCGGGCCTGTACAAGATGTGCTGGGAAAGACGGGCTGATTATGGCGTCGGCCAAAAGCAATGCAGTTCTAGGCGGGTGGCGAGTTGAACGTTCATGGAATAGGTCACTTGTGATGTCAGGTAGGAATTTAACAATAACTAATATTATTGATTATCATATTACAGTACGATTTTCAGGTCGAGATGAAGGCTAACACCTTTCCTAGCATCGGTCCGTCTAGTTCTCGGCAACCATGTATTGGTTCGCCTCGAAAGTCCAAGGCTTCGATGTCGGCGCGTCTCTCTTCGCAACCGGCACTCTCTGCGGCACCTTGCCCTTCTGGACCGGGATGCGAGGTCGGCTGAAGGGAGCCGGCCGCTCGACAGTGCGCTTGCTGGTGGACTCGGTAGCCGCGTAGTCAATGCCTCCAAAGGCGCACTTTCCTCCCTTGAACGCAGCCGTGGCAGCATCCTTCCACAGGTTCGTGATGTCCCGGTGGTGGTCGGCCTTCCAGAAGAGTCTGCAGTCGGAGTATTCTGCGACGAACTGGGCGGGCGTGCCGTCATCCCAGTTCTGGCGCAGAATCTCGTCCTTGACGTTGACGCCGGCGGCCGAGGATCGGGAGATTGGGTATGTTGTGAAGCGGTCCAACTCCTCGATCAGCGCGGTGTCGTTGGTTGCGTCCTTCGCAATTTGGGTGTAGCTGTAGACGCTGCTGAATCCGTAGCTCTGAGAACCCTTGACGCCGCCGACGCCCTGGATCTTTCCTTGGATCTCGGGTCGTCCGCCCATCGCGATGCTCTTGACTCCCGCATCCCACTTCATGAACTGAGAGAAAAGGGTGCAAGTTGAGGCGCAGTAGCCATCAAAGAGCAGAACGATGTTCTCAGGTCCACCGAAAGGCCGAGTGAAGTTCTTGCGGAAGCCGTAGCCAGTCACATCGTAACCAATGCCAGTGGTGGTGTTCTGCCATCAATCGTCAGTCACATGCATCGGTGACCTTAAGTCTCTCTAGAGAGTATAAACTGTGCACTCACTCTTGTGTCAAGTTCGTTTTCGAAGTCCCATTGGATGAGGTCTGTGTACTGGTCATCCTGGTAAACGGCCTGCTCATTTGGTTAGCTCATGCCTCACATCCAGACGGGAATTGCTTACGGGAGGGAACTTGTCCTGGTATGAAGTGAAGTCGCTCAAGTTTCTGTCAAGATCATAGCCCCAGTTGTAGACGCTCTCGCATTGCTGAATGAGATCGTAGGATGCCGTCTTTGGGTCGTATCCCTCACAGTTCTTGGAGAACACCTCAGACACAGCTTTGAAGCCGGGAGAGTACCTCCAATGACCTGTACCTTCTTGGACAATGTCAGGGAACAGCTGGCGGAACCTTTGAATGAGTGTCAGTAAACTCTTCCGTCAAGAAAAATGTAGATGCGCATGAGAACGTACGTGTCATAGCCCTGGAAGATGTAACCGCCGCCATTGACCTGAACGTCGACAACGAGCTTGGTCTTTCCGGCACGTACAGCTGACGCGAAGAACGACTCGACAACCTTCTGGAACTCAGGGGGGTCTTCGGGGGAGAAAGAAAGCATGGCAAGAACTGCGACATCTTCGAATCCCGGCTCGTCGATGAAGTAACCAGAGACAACCGAGTCGCTGCTGATGATGACAGGAGCAGGGTAACCTTGAACTCCGGTTGGCGCTGCGACCGGGGCTGGCGAGGGTGACGTTGTTGGTGCAGGGGCAGCAACACTCGGGGCGGCGTCGGCGTTGGGAGCGAACTTCTTGAAGAATGACGGTCCGTCAACAACGCCACTCCAGTTGCCCTTGAGTCTCGCAACGTTGGAGAGTTCAAGGAATGTTCCGTTTTCGAAAGTGAAAGACGTAACCTCGCCGGGGTAGACGTATCTAGTGCGGCCACCCTGCTTGAAGTAGCCGGTGCCGTTGTTGGCAGCGAAGGCCTTCTCGTAGAACATGGAGTTGTAAGCAGCATCAGCGTCCTGGTTGCCAGTGACTGCAAAGATCAGGTCTTCAATGAACTTTGTCGCATCGACGCCGTTGATGAGCGAGAGAACAGAGGCGGTGTCGGGCGTCTTCATGACATCGTCGTAGACCTTGATGACGGGGGTGGATGTGCCGTCCTCGCTGATGCTGACGAGGCCGAAAGGTCGTGCCCAGTCAATGGCGTTGGTCAAGATGTCAGAGTAGACATACAAATGACCGTCGTGACCGGGACCGAAGACGTTGATGTACATGTCCTGTTGCCAGGAGTGTTCGTTGGGGTACTCATCCGCCTTCAGACCGGCCTCAACCTTGTCGAGTGCGGCGAAGACATCGTGAGGCGGGAAGAAGTAATCCGCTGGTGGGTTCTTCAAGAAAGCAAGATCAGATTGCCATTCCAGGTACGGCCTGAGTTCAGCGATGAACCTCAGCGCGGCGGCCTTGTTCAGAGGCGCCGACGTGATACAGTCGTATGCGAGCTTGGCATTGACGGTCGGTGTAGGCGTAGCCGATCTCTGAGCAGCCCAGGAAGAGCTCACGACAGCGCAAGCAGCGGTAGCGGTGCCGACACTGCTTGTGGCCGACGGCGGCGCGGTCGATGTTGCGGCAATGCAAGAGCAGGCGCTGGAGATGCGGAACTCAGCATCTCCGACCTGGTTGGCCTTGCAGCCATCCACAGCAAAGGCGGGAGTTGCTGTGGGAGCAACTGAGGCACCTGTGAAGGTGGCGCAGAAAGCTCGCGCAGACTCCAGTCGACCAGGGGTCTGAGTAGCCCTCATGGCTCTGAGGCAGTTGTCGGCATTGCAGTCTGCGGCGGTCGCAACACGGGCTGCCAAAGCCAGCAGAACGCTGCTCTCAGCTATGGAGAACTTCATGACTGGTTCTGGGTGGAGAGGATGTCGAGTTGGCTGGGAGGTCAACGCATATCTTGAGTTCGCGAGGGGTGGAAGATATTCTTATATATACACTACACCACAACTATTATTCCTGGTCGCATAATTGCGGAGGGATGACGAATAACAGGGGCAATGCTAGGGCTACTACGCAGCGAGAACAATGATGAAGGTAGAGAGGAGTTAGTTGCAAGGAAATCATAACCGTGGAAAACTGTATGACGCCGTAAGATCGCGTGAAAGGAGTTTGTTTACCTTCCCTCCTTGGCTGCAGATAGCAACATGCATGTCTTCTAGTGGTCCCACGTTAATATCCCGACTGCAGGAGAAGTGCTGCAACGCTGCAGGGGTGCGCTGAAAAACAGCAACAACTGGTTCGCTTCCTCAGTATCGTGAGTCTCTTCGAGGCACAGTTGCAAAAGGCCCTGGCTAGTTACTAACACCTTCCTGATTCGACTTAACAGTAAAGGCCTGCCATGCATCAGCCGTGTTGCCGAGTGTGCCGGACCAGACACTGGAGCTGGCATCATGAACGTCATGGATATTTGTTTCAATAGATCGTTACTGTTTCTTCTGTTATCCCTCTGAAAGCCAGCTGCGTTGTTGCATATTTCATGGGACTGCTTCAGAAAGCGACCTGTATTCTCCCAAGATGGAAATGCGGCACCAGTAACGTGGCGCATGCAAGGGATCTTCCACTGAATATATGCAGAACAGGTCGTCTCAAAACATCAGTCGATCTTGGTGTTTTCCAACGGTGACATTGTCCAGGCTGCTTGTCAAAATAGGCGACTTCGCTTCTCCATGGAACCAACACGAGTCCAGGCCGTGGTCCCCGGCCAGGTACTGCAGCGGGAGACTGCAGGCAACTCCGCGCTGGACCCCATTTATTTTCACCAATAAACCGCTGATTAAGGGCATCTCAACAGTCATGAGAATCAAGCAGCCTCCAAAGCAGGGCGAAATAGAGACAGGGAGGATTTGAAACCATGTCAGCTAATAGTTCACGGGCGCTGACACGCAGGACCAGGTGGTGATCGCAATCAAATCAATCCTTTAAATTGGCTGAAGTAACACGAACACGGCGTGGTCGACATCGCGTTTAGGTAGCGCGGGTTGTTCCTAGAGAAGTCGAAGTCGAAGTGTTTCCCAAAGCCAGTAGTAGTCTCTGCAGGCCACGACTATTCGATGACTAACTCCTCAGCCGCAACTGAAATGACCGACGCGGGGTTGACAATGAGGTTCTTTGTCTCGCTGCTCCACGGCCACCCCGCACGGGAGATCCCACGGGGAGATTGATCTAAACCCCGCCCTCGGCAACGGGGCCGGTTCTTCGGAAGGGCTGGACGTTGCATCAGCTGGACTTTTCTTGAGTCGATTGTCATTCCCAAACTCCTTGATACGGCTAAGGTGCTCACTCAAATTCATGAACAAGATGGTCGAAGAGATCGACGTCCTCATCTGTGGCAGCGGCTCCGCGGGCCTCTGCGCCGCAGTATGGCTTGCTCGCTATGGCGTCAACTTCAAGATCCTAGAACGCCGGAATGGGCCGCTCGAGCAGGGACAAGCCGACGGCGTACAATGCCGTACCGTCGAAATCTTCGAGAGTCTTGGCCTTTCAGAAGACCTGCTGAAAGAAGCGCATCACATTCTTGAGCTGGCGTTTTGGACTCCGGACGGGAAAGGTGGAATCCGGAGGTCTCGCCTCGAGCCCGACACGGAGCCTGGGCTCAGCCATCTACCCCACGTCATCTTGAACCAGGCCCGATTCAATGAGTTGCTGATAAAAGATATTGAACGGAGATCTGGACAATCGCATATTCAGTACGGGAGCGACGTTCAACGTGTTGAGGTTGACAGCCAACTCGCAAGCGACCCTACCGCGCATTGCGTGACGGTCACAGCTGTGGAGGAGGGAGTTGAGCGGGTGTATCGGGCAAAGTATGCATTGGTAAGATGGATCAATATTTATCGACATATCGTACCCTTAAGACGCTAACATGATGAGCACCGAAGGCATGCGATGGAGCGCACAGTGCTGTCAGAAGATCCCTCGGATTCAAGATGGTCGGCGACAGCAGTGATGCAATTTGGGCTGTGATGGACGTTTTCCCAAGGACGGACTTTCCTGACATCCGAAAGAAGTGTGTCCTACAGTCTGATGCTGGAAACCTGGTAATCATTCCGAGAGAAGGTGACGAGAAAGTCCGATTTTACATGGAGATGCCTGGCTGGGCAGCGAGCGACGTCAAACCGGACAAGGTCAAGCATCGCATCGATCAGATATTCAGCCCCTACAAGGTTGAAATTGCTGAGACTTCTTGGTTCTCAGTCTACTCCATAGGACAGCGAGTTGCCGACAACTTCGCCAAGGAGAACCGCGTTTTCCTGACGGGCGATGCATGTCATACTCACTCCCCAAAGGCCGGTCAGGGAATGAACGTCAGTCTGCAGGATGGGTACGTTATTTTGATAAAGCCTACTCATTTCGTAACTGATGATTGGCAGTTACAACCTAGGCTGGAAGCTCTCAGCCGTTGTGAATGGACAAGCAAAACCGTCAATTTTGGAGACGTACGTCTCCGAGCGGAAGCAAACTGCACATGACCTGATCGATTTCGACCGCCATTTTACAAGACTGTTCTCCTCGTCTTATCGGAAAGAACACGGCGTCACTGTCGACGATTTCCAGGACTTCTTCATCAAATCGGGAAGATACACTGCCGGGTTGGCGATAGAGTACAACACTTCACTCCTCGTGGACTCCGGTGAAGGTGATCAGCTGGCCAACAAAGTGCGTGTCGGCATGCGGTTCCCCAGCGCACAGGTTGTACGTCTCTTCGATGCTCGGGCTATGCAATTTGCTAGAGCCTTGCTCTCAGATACCCGATGGCACTTGATAGTCTTCGGGGGCGACATCAACAAGCCTGAAGCCGAAGCCCGTCTAGTCAACGTAAGTGCATGTGAATATCAGTCAAGTTGGACCAGTCAGCTCACCTTTCTGTTCTCGGTTCCTGAAGACAACTTCAGCACTCGAAGCTGCACTCAGAACGCTACGTCCATGTCGAGAAGACATCCACGATTTCATCCATCCCATACTTCTGTTGCATTCAGACAGGAAGGCTGTGGATGAGAAGAAGATTCCAGCCTTTTTTACGCCTCCCACCGGAAAATGGGGAGTTCGATGTAAGTTTGAGAGAATCGCCGCTTACCTTTTCAGATGAGTTTTGGCTGACTCAGAGATCGTCAAACGAAGGTTTACTTAATGTCTTTGTTGACGACGAAAGTTATCATGCTGGTCATGGAGAGGCTTACAGCAAGTTTGGGGTTGACCCCAAAGCTGGGTCATTAGTACTTGTTCGTCCGGACCAATGTGAGTCCTTAGGACATGCTTCAACTGAAGATTCATGCTAACATAAGACTTTCCAGATGTCTCTCTCATAACCTCGTTGGAGAACTCATCCCTGATCAAGGAGTTCTTTGAAAGGTTTCTCACATCAAACACAGAGAATGGCGCATAATTGTAGGATGCTACTCGACAGAAAGTAGAGATTCTGCACTGGCAGAGAGCGCATTCCATAAGGAAATCTGTATTGCCTATGATCAATGTTTTCAGTGAATTAGCAGCTTGATTCGGGAGCAGCTGATATCTGGAAGCTGCAGCCATGCCTGCTGTATAGTCTCGACAAATATCACGACATAAATTGTGTTTCCTTAGGCCTTGGTGTCTGCTTTTTCCGTAACTTCGGGCGGTGTGCTTGAGCCGGGAGAACGGCCCTCACTAATAGCCTTTCCGCCCCGCATCCCTAAGAGATCCTTGAACATCATGCGCGTCGTACGAACCACAGTGGATCGCGACTCAAAAATAGGCAGAAAGACGACCATGATGACAGACGCAAAGAGCCATGTGATGCCAACCACAACCCATCCGGTGAAGAACTGCAGCGTTTCGTTTGTCAGAAGGTGATCTTCATCAGAGATGGAAGGCTGGGGACTTACAGGCTTGCTGAAGACATAGCCGCTGCCATACAATGGCATCGGCCAAAGAATCAGAAGAATTAACGTCACTCCAACGGTCAGCCAACGAGCAATTTTGGCAGCACGGTCCAGCTTCATCTTCTCATCCGCATCGCCGTCGACACTAAGAGTCTCAGTCCTCTCTCTGGGGACATTTTCCACATCCATATTCGCGGCATCCGTAAGGTCATGGTCGTCTCCCTGGCTGATGTTCAGCATACTCTGCCAGTCGTAATTCTGGGGCCTGAAAGGAGGGATAAAAGTTAGGAGCGGAATGAAGACGACCGGTGCGAGAAGTGAGGTCAGGTTTCCGGCAAGCATCGGTGTGTTCGCACCCGTCGACTCGACACTGAGCTCGCCGTACTTGATCTTGGTGGTCACAAGCCAAGCCGTCATTGACAGGACGAATCCAATGATGGGGCTGAATGTCGCGGCGGCCCAGGATTGTCCAGCCCACAACAGGGTGAGTGTCGCAGGGAGGACCGCGGAAGAGATGATGACGCCCATCATGAGGTACAGGTACCCCATCGAAATACCGATGTAGTTGAATCCTGTTGCCAAGCCAGCCATCACGAGAGCGAAAACGCCCATGCCGATGTAGTTGATGCGCATGAGCTGCTTTCCTGTGGCGGAGGGGTTGAAGTAGGTCTTGTAGATGTCGTAGGTGCAGATCGAGGAAACCGCGATGAGTTCGGATGAGTAGGTACTCATGATAGCCATGAACTGGTCAAGTGTTGTCAGCGCATTTGATCAAGCATGGAGGTCTTGAGCCATCCTTACGGCGAGAATTAGAGTCGCAACAGCGCCTCCTTTACCCAATAGAGCGACGGCAACTGTCGGCAGGACCAAGCCGGCATCAACATCGGCGGATGCCATTCTGTTGGGGTAAGATGGCCAGATGTCATATCTCTCAAGCGCCAGGCCTGCAAGTCCCATGGTCGTCGCTGTAAGCCACGGGACAGCGAACCAACTCACGCCGCTAAAGTAATCGCTTAGTATCTTCACATAAAATTGCATGTGTGGTGAACGACTTACCCCATGACGTACCCTGGGAGGGCATCGACGGGAGAGGCAGCGATGGCCTTGTTGTAGTATCCGTTGTCCAGGAACACGGTACCAAAGTTTCCACAGAGATTGATGATGAAGAACTCAACTGCACAATAGTCAGTTATTTTCCCTCGATATTCGGAAGGTACAATGATCGAAAAACATACCTCCACCCTGAGACCTCATGGTCAGATAGCTGCCCCCGGCGTTGCCGGCCTGGGGACGCTCAGCAGCCAATTCGGTGAGGATTTCCCAGACGCGACCGGGTGAGCCGAGAATCTCGTTCGTCGAGTAAACGGCGAAAGCGAAGACGAAGATGATGACGATGATCACCAGACCGTTGATGTAGTCTGTGATGAAAGTTGCCTTGATACCGCCGAAGAGAGTGTACACGACAACGCCTGTCTTGAGTTCAGTACGCCGAAGCAAACGAATGCTGCTTGTCTGTTAACTCACCGATGGGAAACAGAAACACCGAGGCAGCGACTGGTGCTCCCGTGAGGTTCTGAATGACGGCAGAACCTCCAGTAAGCAGCATGGCGGTCACTAGTTTCCAATTAGTCGGAGAACTCCAGAGGTAGCCGTTGACCATACCCAGAATATTGCAGAAACAACAGAAGACGATGTAGACACAGTGAGTGGCGGGGCCGTATCTAGCCTTGATGACTTCGAGGACTAAGGAGTCTCATCAGCACCCGACTTCACTTTCTGCAATCATGGTTTCTTACAAGTGTGAGCGTTGGGCGCACGCCTTTTCAGCTCAATCGCTACCGTGGCAAAAAGAATGATTTGGACTGTCGCTCCAGAAGCGTACCAAACAGGGCCAGAAACGCCGCTTTGCAACTGTCAGTTGGGTCTCTTGGACAGGAACGATGAGTTGTCTTACTATTTGTACGCGACAGCAGTGCTTTGTAACAAGGTTGCCGCCCATGTCCAGGTTGATAGGACTGATGATGCGACCTGTGGCAAGTCAGCCAATTTGACCACATGTCAAGATATTCATTTACTTACAAGCCCAGACTTCAGTGACCGTCCTGCGGTTGTGAACATTTCTGATGTCTGTAGTTCATAGTTGTATCTCTTGAGAGCCCATGTGATGACAATCATGAATCCACTACGAAAGTGAGTAATTATTCCAAGGTAGTAGGTATGCATTGAACTCACGCGAACATAACACCTAGACCAATCATGAGGCCGTAGCTACAAGTTTGAGTTAGCTTAAGTTATGCCAATTAGGGAAGAGAGATGCACAAACCCCCAACCTTGGTGGAGGACCGGAGTCGAGTCCATTTCTACAAATGGCGTAGCTCAGAATTGACCGGGGAGAAAGACTGCTAGCAGAAAGATGCAGTAAAGGGCCTCTAGAATAACACGCCAGAAAACAGAAGTTGATTCTCTGTCAGTAAAGACCGCTTCTACCACAGTTGAACGGGCACGACTTGTCTAAATATGAGACAGAACATTTGCAAGAGCGGCAGAAAACATGTTAAAGTAAGTGGCCGGCGGGCAGACGGCACACATATCAGCAATCCCAAAGATCCCACCACGGTCGTACCATTGACGCAGTCAAAAGCCCTCACTCACTGCCGGAGCAGGGGAAACCGATAAAAATTCGTCGCCAAGGTACCATACCAATTGACCGGATTACACCCAAGAGATAAGGTCATCAAATTGGATAACGTGGGGACAACTGCGTCAAGGAGTGCGTCAGACCCACAGAAGTTGCGGCGAACTGACGCCGCGTGTGCGATCTTGGTGCAGATGGGCGCAAACCCCACGACAGCACGTACGGACTTGACGGGGAGCAATGGGCCGTGAAATGCTTATTGTTCGCTTACGGGTCCGCAGTTCATCTAGCGAGAGACGCCGAGAAAGCGAGGATTTGATAATGGACTCTCAGTGGCTCGTCTGAGGGTGGCCAAGGTGTTAGTATTTCTTGGAAGTCAACTGTCTTATCACCATCCAACCAGGAGAATCGTTTAAGATAAGGCTCCAGATGTTGCCTCAAGGCTGATTAGCGATAACAACCACAACGGTCGGTATGGCACGCAGAGAGAGAGAGAGAGAGAGAGAGAGAGAGAGAGAGAGAGAGAATTTAGTCATTTCAGTTGATGGCCAACAGCAACCTTTCATGTAATGAAAGCTTTGAGGCTCGAAACTTGAAGAGGGTTGCGGTGCTCGTCTCCGGCAAAGTCGTGACTTTGTGCGGCGATCGTTTCCCCGCTAAAGTAAAACGTAGTCCAACCCAAGTATAATCAATCATCTGGAATATGAAATTTACAGAAATCAACATTTCCTAACCAAAAACAACAATCAGCAGACTTAGGCCTGTTGGGTTTAACAAAATTCATTGCTTAGCCATAGTTTCATCAGACCCCGGACAATTCTGAGCTGAGATGACCATCTCCGAATCCCAACTTGCACGTAAATCTAATCCAGCCTGTGTCTTCTGTGCCGGCGGCGGCTTGGCTCTTGGCACTCGCCGGCGGGCAGGTTTCCACTTTTCCCCAAGATCCCGCTCCGCTCACCAACAAGAAGACAAGCCTTTTTTGACGATGTAAGCTCCACCAGCAGCTGATTAAGCCTCCGCCAACGTGGTCGGGAGTCCGGAGTCATCGCAGCTGCCCATGCCGAAGACATCAGCCCCGACTGGGCGCTCCGCATGTGCACCTATGCATATCCGTGCAATCTACCGAGCAGGTGAGCCCGCTCCCTCGAGTTCGGGGCGGGATCCATCACTGGTTATGGCCAGTAAGTGCTCTGGAGACACGCATCGGCGTTGTGGAAGCGAACGCTGATCGTCGGAAAGTCATCTCAGGAGCCGTGTGGTTCTCTTTCAGCGCCGAATTGTATCAATTCACAGATTTCTAATGTCGGGTGGTCTTAGGTTGGCCGTTGGCGTCATCCGGAATGTCGGTGATGATTTGAAGACGCTTTTCAGCACCATCTCCGGGTCCGCCCCGGTGGGTCTCCGTATTAGTGGAGCGCGGGGCCGGGTGTGACCCGAAAAGCACGGGGTACAGGTCTCCGCCGCTGCTACCCCGACTCACGACCGAAGCCGAGCACGAAGTCACGGAGTCCGCTAAATTCTTACTTCCAGCGCTCTACCACCTTGAATGTATACATAGACCTTGCCGATCCTTCCGGCTTTGAGATGGAAATTTCACGATGTCGGGCGCAGCCCGATCATAACGTATCCACATGGGTCCGTCGGTGTCATCGGAAGCTGCCGACACGTGGCCCACGACCCTGACCCATGGCTGTCAATTAACCGTGCAAACATGATGCTTAGACGAATTTTCCTGAGGAAGCAGTTGGAAGCTCCAAACGTCCCAAGCATACCTCGACTACTCAAGTCAAACAGACTACCGACGTTTTCCTACACTAATACCTGCATTTTCTAAATATGGTCTTTTAGACTTTTTTCCCCCATAAAGTCTTGTTGCTCGACGCATTTAGCAGGTGGGAACTTCGGGACGTCCACCCACAACCCTTCACAAACGGACCCCGTCGACCCATCACCTGCGTCCCCGGTACCACCATGCCGGTTCGGCCTTTTCCTGCCCATCCCCCACCGATTTTGGCAGTTCATTCATATGGCTGACGCAGAAAATCTCCATCAGTGCCGGCCGGCAATCAGGGGGCCATCCTTGACATTCCGCCCCCTTTGCCTTCCGGAGGGAGATGACATCCACGTCTCGCATCACCCTGAGGGCTTTTGTTTCCACGGCCTTTTGGCATCTGGACTGGTTCAGATGAACGCCCTTGTGGAGATCCTTTCCTTGAAGAGAGTCGGCTCTCCGTCTGGTTGGCAGAGAAGCCCAGGCTGTGTAAATAAGGCCGCGTCGTCAGGACTCGACGGATGGGGCTGTCCTGATGCCGTCCATGCCATTCCTCTCGCGATCTTTACGGAAGCTATGGATTTAGACTCGGATTAGTTGCCCGGAGCTTATAACCGGCCATGATTGTGCCGAGCACGGCGCCTTAACCCTTTCTTCGACGGGGTCGGTGGACACTGCTCGTCGTAAGCTTGGCACCACTTTTCGATCATAACCCCATACCCGTTCTTCAGAGAAGTTGTATAAGAAGAGGGTCTTGGCAGAGTAATCGGATTCTAGAAGCTCTCTTCACTGGCACAGGCTCTCCTCGGCTAGGAGCTCATTCTTTCATCTCCAACTCAAGCACATTCGTTCCTCACCGTCGCTACCGAGCACGAGCGAGTGCCGACCTCAGCCATGTATCGCCCATCAACAGCATGGGCTCTCGCCATCCTCACCTACGTGACCGGCACCCTCGCTGAAGACGCCTCAGCAAACTACACCGAACAACTCCTATCCTCCGGCACCAGTACCTCTCCTCCCCCCTCCCAACCCCCCAATCCTCTCCCTGTCTAACACAGCCCTCCAGTCAAACTCGGCGCATGGCAAGAAGCCTACGATAAAGCCTCCGCCCTCGTCTCGACCCTGACAACCGCCGAAAAGATCTCCATCGCAGCCGGCGGCGACGGCGGCAACTTCACGGCCCTCAACAACCTTGACTCCGCCACAAACCCCCTCACATACTTCTACGTCACCACCTGGCCCGCCGGCCTCGCCATGGCCATGACATGGGACACCGCCGCCGCCGAGGGCCAGGGCCGCGGCGTGGGGGTGGAGTTCAGGGGGAAGGGCATCAACATGGCCTACGGCCCGACCCTCGAGCCCCTGGGCCGTTCGGCGTGGGGGGGCCGGACGGGCGAGACGTACGGCGTGGATAGTTATCAGGCGGGCATCATGGGCGGAGCGGTGGTAAAGGGGATGTCGAGTGCTGGTGTGGTTGCTAGCGCGAAGCACTTCATCATGAACGAGCAGGAGACGAATCGGATGGGCTCCGGTGGTGGTATGGGAGGCGGCGGCGGCGGTGCTGCTCCTCCCGGTGCTGGCGGCGGTGCCAACTCGACCCTGACGAGACGTCAGACCAACGGCACGACCACCGCAAACTCCACATCCTCAGACGACTCTGGCGCGTACACCGTCACCATCGGCGACAAGGCCTTCCACGAGACCTACCTCTGGCCCTTCTACGACACCGTCCGCGCCGGCATGGGCGGCGCCATGTGCGCCATGAACAAGGTCAACGGCACCTACTCCTGCGAATCCCAATCCCTCCTCGCCAAATACCTCAAGGTAGAACTCGGCTTCCCCGGCATCGTCCACGCCGACGTCTCCGCCCAGAAGACCGGCATCAACGCCGCCAACGCCGGCATGGACCTCGCCTCGTCCCAGTACTTCTCCAACGCCACCCTCGGCGCCGGCCTCCTCAACGGCTCCTTCACCGCCGAGCGCCTCGACGACATGGCCGTCCGCAACATGATGGGCTACTTCCACCTCGGCCAGGACGCGGGCTACCCCGCCAAGGCCGGCGTGACGGACCGCGTCGACAACCGCGGGAACCACAGCGCCCTCGCACGGCAGTACGCCGCGGAGTCCATCGCCCTGCTCAAGAATACCAACGGGGCGTTGCCGCTGCTGAACAAGACGAGTATCAGCATCTTCGGGACGCACGCGGGCCCGCGCTACGTCGGCGCCAACACCGCCCTCGGCGTCTACGACGGCGAGCCGTCCACGATGCAGGGCCACATGGCCGTCGTCGGCGGCTCCGCCATGGGTTCCCTCTCGCACCTCACTACCCCGCTGCAGCTCTTCAACCAGCGCGCCGCGGCCGACGGCTTCATGCTGCGCTGGTGGCTCAACGACACCTCCACCGCCACCTCCAGCGGGATGAAGGGCTCCGGCACGGAGCTGACCGAGTCCACGACGGGCGTGGCCGACCTGTCCGACGCGTGCGTGGTGTTTCTCAACGCGTGGGGCGGCGAGGGCGCGGACCGCGAGGAGCTGGCGAACGCGGAGCAGGACGCGCTGGTGCTCACGGTGGCAGACGTCTGCAACAACACCATCGTGGTGATCAACACCATCGGCCCGCGCCTGGTCGACGCCTGGATCGAGCACGAGAACGTCACGGGGGTGTTATACGGCGGCGCGCTGGGCCAGGAATCCGGCAACGCGATCGACGACGTCCTCTTCGGGACTGTGAACCCCTCGGGCCGCCTCGTGCACACGATCGCCAAGAACGAGAGCGACTACAACCCCGCCACCATCATCAGCGAGACGGCTCTCGACCTGGACTTCTCCGACGGGAACGACGTCGACTACAAGTACTTCGACCGCTACAACGTCACCCCGCGCTACGAGTACGGCTACGGCCTCTCCTACACGACCTTCGCATACGCCGAGACCCTCGCCGTCTCGGCCGCGAACCTGACGAGCGGGTTCGCGAGTGGGGACCGGAGCGTCGGCGGGCGCGCGGACCTGTGGGACGTGGTCGCGACGGCGTCCACGACGATCTCCAACACGGGGTCCGTCGCGGGCGCCGAGGTCGCGCAGCTGTACGTCGCCTTCCCCGCCGCCGCGGGCGAGCCGGTGAGGCAGCTGCGCGGGTTCCAGAAGGTGCGGATCGAGCCCGGGGAGAGCGCCGACGTGGCGTTCCCGCTGAGACGGAGGGATCTGAGCGTGTGGGACGTCGAGGGCCAGGAGTGGAAGGTCGAGAGCGGGGAGTATGTGTTGTTTGTCGGCGCGAGTAGTCGGGACTTTAGGGCGCAGACGACGTTGACTGTTGTTTGAGTGGTTTGGAGGTGTGTGGTAAACGTTTTTTCTTGTTAATATTTGATTGCGATTCGTACGTATTTCGAGGAACATGATATGGCCCCAGCGGGGACTCGAGTTTATCCATGGCCAAGATGAAGACGTGGCGAAAAGATGTGGTGAACCTTCAAATGATGGTCGAAGATGATTGTATAACGCGTCTGGTACTATAAGCAGGACATCGTTGTTGCATTGTCCCAATGCTGCAGCAAAGTCGGTTTGGGGCTGCTGGTCGAATTGGCTTAGCTATGGCGGGATTCCTCGCGAGACAGATGAGGGCGGTGAACCTTCGCATCATCACAAATCTTGGAGAACTTCAAATGTGAGCAATGGCAGGTGTTTTCTCTTTCCATGCTACCCTAGCTAATAAAGGCAATCCAGGCTCGACGCTGTTTAATTTCAACTGCGTCACTCTTCCCAACGCCCGGTGTATGAACCATCACCCGTGTCCGACAAATGTGAACGAGTCAATGCTTCAATCTAAAGACTCAGTTGCTGAACTTTTGTATCCATCCCAAAGCCCGTGACCTCAGCATCTCTTCCGACATGATGATCGTTGCAGCACGGTGAAAACCAGCGCGATCGACTCACGTGGACGGTAATAGGCGATGCCGAAGTGTAGAACGAGGACGTTCCCTGTCCCGTCCGACGGGCTCGAATCCCATGACCAAAAATTGATATCCCGTTTCCCTCTAGACCCACTCCCGTCGTTTGCTGGAGGTCTCTTGTTTCTTGACGCGAACAAGAATTCAATCTCAGCAAGGAAAAAAACAAAATGATAATTCGACGTTGATAATAACAGCCGCTGGTAAAGGCTCGAGCGATTATGCATTAAAGGAACTCCTTGTATGCCGTTCGTTCCTATGTACCGTCCAAATGGAGAGTCGTTTCCCTTGACGCTGCGTTGAGCTCATCAGGTGTGGGCAACGAAAGAAAGACTGAAAAGCAAGGCTATTCTCCGTTCGACTCCGATCCCTAATCGTATGCTTGGATTGTCGTCAAGTCGGTGTGGAGGCCGACGACTGCGATAACTCTTTGAACGCCCCGCGATGCCATGGCCGTCCTTGGCCGTTGGAGTTGAAATGCCCTGAACGCCGGTGCCCGAAAGATGAGCTAAATTTTTTGATCGGAAAAACAGTCGAGAAACGTCAAATGACGAGTCCTCCGCGGAGATGCGGTGGTGGCGATGTGGTAAAGCGAGCAATACTGCCGTCAACCCCTAATCGCTGTCGCAGCATGAGTCTCGGTGCTGAACGGAAAGCGCTCCTGCAGCTGCTGGGCGTACGGATAATCATTCGGCGACGTACCGGCGAAAGGAAAGCCACCCACCGAGGCAACCGGGGAGGCCGACCTCATTGTCGTTGGGGCGGAAGCCTGACTCGCTCGTGTGTTTGCGGGTTGGGGTTGGCTGAGTGGAGAGGAGGCCGGGGATGCGCCATAGGTCCCCAGGTGCTGAAAATAAGGGTTGGGGTCCCGGAGGTGGAATGCGTGGTGTTGAGCGGGGCCGGCGTGCTGTGTGTGGTGGGCCATGCTGGGGCTGCCGTTCGTGCTCGAGCTCGAGCTGTTGGATCCTCGGGTGGCGAATCCATCCTCGGCGCCGTCGTACTTTCCGCTCTTCATCGTGCCGTCTTTGATCTGAGGGCTGGACTGCTTGGATCCGAACTGTTGAGAGAGCCAAAGTCAGTACAAGCTTTTTGGGCTGAGTGTGGGCGAGCGATGATGAGAGTCGATGAAAGGGTCGGGTGTTTGTGATTGTTGACCAGGAGTACGTACAAAGCAGTATTTGTTGACCAGTTCCTCATACGATGAAGAGGCAATCATTGCGTTGGGAGAATCGTTGCCGGAGGCGGAGGGAGCGACGGGCTTCACAGCAGGAGCGCTGCCATTAGCTGACGGGTTTGATGTGGGCCTTTGCTGCTGTGGTTGCTGAGCAGGGACCTGGATCTTGCGGTGGCTCTTCATATAGAGACCGTCGCTGTTGCGATCCTTACCCATGGTGTCCTTCGCAGCCTGCACGGCGGCAGAGAGGGAAGCACCGAAGTCGTAGCGGTTGGCAAAGGCCTGGCCGCTGGGTGCCGAAAGACGGCTCGACAAGTTGTCGCTAGCCAGGCTGCCGGTAGACTTGTTGGTCTTGAGGCGGAGTCCAGCATTGGGACCTGACTCTCCGAGATACTCGTGGATGGGCTGGTCGAAGTGGATCCTGCCCTGGTCGCCGAAGTCGTCGAAGCCGACGGGCATGGACTTGGGGCGAGGGTTTGAAGAGGGGCTCGAGCGGCGGTTGCTGCGGGGAAGAGCAGGTCTGCTGGCAGCCCCCTGGAGTCCACGCTTGCCATTCTGGGGGAGGAATTTCTTGCGGAAGTCGACCTGGAAGTTGGTGCCGTTGTTGTTGTCCCAGAATTCTTGGCCGTTGACATTGTAGCGGACGCAGAAGTACAGGGTCTTGCTCTCGAGGTTAGCCAGGTCGGACAGCTTGATGGTGAAGGTGAATCGATCATGGCTAACGCCGCCCTCTTGGGGGCGGATCTCGTGGGAGTATTCGGCACCGACTTCTGAGGTAGTCTTCCAGTAGTCGAGGGTGAATCTGCAAGTGACAGACTTCTGGAAAGCCAGGTTGGCAACGCAGATGGAGCCAAGTAGGTTCTTCTGGTCGGGCGACAGCCATACCCTTTCGAGGCGGATGGGAAGGGACTTCCTGATGGGGGTATCGGCGGGGTGGTTCGCGGTGACGATCTCCCACTCGAATGGCGGAGTGCGAGAGTTAGGGCGCTGCTCGTCGCCAGGGAATGGGTACTCGGTGTCGCTGTCGTAAGCATCAACAGGCGATGAGCCGGCGCTGACGGCGAGTGGCCGGTCGACTTGGAGGAAATGGCGAACGTGCTCGAGGTGGGAGTCGAAGTGGACTGCCTTGGAGAAGGTCGGGGTGCCGGGCATGCTGGAAGGGCGTCGGCGAGAGGGCGGCCTCAAGGCCGGGCGGACAAGCTCGCCGGACTTCTTCCGTACCATCTGGGGCTTCCTCGGGGCGTCCTCATCAGATTCCTCCTCGGAACCCGTCACCGAAGCCTCAGCGGACTTGGACATGACGATCTTGGGTTCGGTGCTTGACCTCGAGTGATTGGAGCGGCGGCCGACGGTCTTGACGAGGGCATCCAAGGCACCCGTGCTAAAGCTGTGGGAGATGCCCTCGTTGGTGATGAGTGCTAGCGTGGGCTGCGGTTCGGGCTTCGGGCTGGGAGAGGCTTCTCGGTGGACGGGGATCTGGCTTATGGCATCCTTAAGCTCCTTGAGGTTCTCGATCTGTCTTCCACGAACAGTGGCATCCTCCTCTTCGCTGCCCGAATCCGGCGGAGAGATGATGGCGCCCTTAGGCATGCCTCGTTCGTCCGTCAGTGGCGGCGGTGATTGTCTCACGCTGCTGCTCGTGGCCATACCCTTGAGATCGTCGGACGTGCCGGGTGGCGTTATTTGGTCGGAGGAGCCGTTCAGTGACGGTACTGTGGCCGCGGACGGTGTCCTCCTGTGCTTGGTAAGGTATGATGCCGACCTGGGGAGTGACGGTCTCGGGCTGGACTGGAAGGAGGATCGGCGGCTCACGTCGGGCGAGGACGGTGCTGAGCTTGCTGGCGAGCGGTGGGAGGGTGGTGTGTAAGGCATTTTGTATGCTATAAATGTGAAAAATACAGAGGTCCGGTCGAAGGCGTGCGCCCGGCACGGAAGATTGTGGCGGATCCGGAGAGGTGCGAGGTAATGCAAACTGGTATCAATTCATGCGATTAGGTTTGAGGGCGGGCGGCAGACGGGCGACGAGGCGCGGCTTTTTAGGATTAGGTTCTGTAGCGGTTCGAATTCTGCGTCAGCCCTGTCGCGGCCATGAGGATTGGAGATTATTGTGGCGAGCAAGGAAATCGGTGCATGTGTTAAGTCGAAGTCGAAGTCGAAGTTGGAGAAAACAGGGCAAAAGGAGACGAGAGAACGGCGCTGACGCCAGTAAATGCAAGGATGTAAGAGGACCAAGGAAAAAGGTGACGAGTTCAAAGGAAAGATCCAGGTAGGACAGGACGGTGCAAATGAAACAAAAGGAGGCAATGACGAGGCGGTGATTCGAGTGTCTTTTTTTTTCTGGTTTTCTTTTTTTTTTTTTTTGGTAGGTTTGAGTCGTGATTGAACCACTTACATGAACGGAGAGGAAGTCGAGGAAAAGACGCGGGCGAGCAAGAGTTTTAGCACTGGCAATATTCCAGCAACAGGGCGCAAAACTCTTGTTTGGAGGCCGAGGAATGTCGGTAGCTGGGGAGGAGGGTCCCGTGGAGGACGCCGTCGAAGCAGGAGGAATGCAATGACGAGCGTGGAAGAGGGTCGAGATGTCTCGAAGAAGGGGCCGACGAAGGGCGAGACGGGAGGAGGACTGCGGCTGCGGATCGGGAATTGGTGTGGGTTGAGGTTGAGAACGACCGGGACGTACAAACCAACCTAACCTTCCGAAGGTGGTGGCTTTTGCGACGTACGTATCGTGGAGTTGAGGTGTTGTTTCGTGGGTCCGGTGGAGGGAAGGCAGAGGAGACCAGCAATGTTGAGCCGTTGCTGTCGAGGGTCAATCCTGCGATGCCTTTTTCTTTCTCTTTTTTCTTTCCTGCTCTTTCTCTCTCAAGTCGTCAGGAAGAGATGTTGGCGGTGATTGTTGGTTTGTTGTTGGACGACGAGTCGACTTTGGTGTCTGGAGCACACAAAGGTTGGAGAAGAGAAGGTGGGCGCGGCTCCGGAGGGGACGGAGTGGTTTTGAATGGCAGAGGTCCCGAGCGGCCAGTGCTGTTTCTGTACGCTGCACCGCGACCGCACCCAGCAAAAAAAGCGAAAAGAGAGAGAAAAAAGCTATCAGTCTCTTAGTGCGTGCGCCCCCCTTCCACTCACTCCCCCCAGGCCTTGCCTTTTGGACTGGGGGGCTGTTCCCAGGCGGCGGGAGTCGCAGTAGCACGTACCTGATGGTCAGGAGCACCCCTGCAAGGTCGAAGGACGGCGAAAGACGAGGATGGACGCAGCGCTACAGCGGCATGCATGGGTGGCATTCGACGAGAGCAAAAAAGAGACAGAATGAGACTCAGAGAGGGCGTGGGAGGGGGTGGATGGAGGAAGCAAGTCGAAGAAAAGATTTGCAAGGTCGCAAGGAAAGGCCGGGGGCGATGGCGTAGAGGGGTGGAGACGGGGTGAAGGTGTGGATGCAGCCACAATGTGAAGCTCCACTTGCGCGGTGGACCGGGGCGGGAAGGTACGTATCCTTTTTCTGCCGCTCGTCTCGTTCGTTTCTGTGTGGAAGGTGGAAGGCGAGAGGCGAAAAAGGCAGGAAAGACAGAGACGGAGGGAGGGGTGGAGTCCGAGCCAGCAGAACCATCAGAACACCACCTCTCACTCTGCAAGAACGTGGGATACCTTCCGGTAGAGAGTAAGGTAAGGTACTGCGTAGTGGCACGGAGACGGCAAGCTGGCCGCGTTGAGAACCAAACCGACTGACTGATGAGACTCGACTGACTGATTGTCTGATGTCTGCCGGTCCCGCTACCGCTGCCATTGGCACTGGTCTTGGTCTTGATCTTCAACGTGGAGGTAGCTACCGCCGCTTTTCGGAATGGCATGCCAATTCTTGCTCGACCCGGAGAGGCAAAAGAGGGATACCGTATTCCGGTCATTGTCACTGTCACTGTCACCGTCACTTAGACACCGCAGACATGCTCTCCCAGACCAGCACCCGGTGGAGATGCTCGTCCACGGGAATGATGGTGGTGCAAACCCTCAAGTACGGCATAGTAAAGGCGAGAAAAAGAGAGAGCGAGTAAAGAGCTTCTCCGGCTGGATGCGGTCACACCCTGCTACCGCTGCTGCTGCCGGCCGATGGTCTCACAGCTTCTGCTCTGCTACCGTAACCTACACGCTGAAAGGTATTCTTGGTGTTGAGGGAAGGGAAGAGCATGCCTAGGTAAGTAGGTAGCCTGGCCGAGCCCGGAGGTCGGAGCACAGAGAGACTGAGACAGCAGACATGTCCATCAAGACAGATGGAAATGTTGGCGATAGCTGCACTCAGCTCCCGCTGGCCGTTGCGTTCCTCCATCCCGACCCCCGGCTCCGGCGCCGTCCCCGTCCCCGTCGTCGTCCCCGTCACCAATGCTTCGAAAAGCAACACCAACGTCTGGGTGCGGAGGACGTTGAGGTTTCCGGTAGAGTCAAACCAGACCCCCATGCTCTGATACCTGATACCTGATACCGCATGATGCCGAGAGCAGATGGCAATTGAAACAAGCGAGGCCGGCCACCAGCTGGGAAAGCAAGGACGAATGTTCAGTTGGTAAAGGTACGGATACGCGTCCTGTCCATGCCCATGCCCATGGCATGAGCTGTGTGCTCACCCTGCCCCGGGTGCATTTCCCTGCTTTGCCGTGGTGTTCTGTGCTGAGATAGGTTCCGTCTCTTCTGGATCGGAGTGTAAGAGCTGTCCGGGGAAGGAGCAAGAAAAAAAGAAAAAGACATTGGATCACCTCAGCAAAAACCAAACATCAACCAACCACACCGGCTTACGGTGCACAGTACAGGAAACAGCGGCCGGGGGTTGCGACGGACAGTAAAAGATCTTTGATGGGACGGTACGGCCAGGCTCCACTCTCGTGAAAGGGGTGGGGCGGCTAACAGGCGCTAGCAGGGGATAAGAGGAGTACGTACCATCTGGCTCGATTCCAAAAGACAAGCAGCGACAGGGACAGGGGCCTGCTCGGTTTGGCGTTGGTGCTGATTTAAAATCATGGTCCCATCATTCCCTCAAGAGAGAGGCATGACAAGCCCGAATGAGAGGGCAAGAGAGCGAATTCGTACGACGATGCAGTAGTCAGCCTCCATTTGTGTGTGTATGCATGTATCTGCGTTGCTGTCAGTCATCGTGTAGACAGCATGTAGACCATCTCATATGCATGTAGAGACAGCTATAGACACCCATTCGAGTCTGAAAATACCTGAGGCATGCCAACCGAAATGCAACCTTGAGAGTTGCCAACAACTGCAACTATGCCGCAGTCTTCCATATCTGATGTTGTATTTGCAATATCAACACCTTTCGAATTCGTCCCACCTACGGCCTGGTCAGTATCAGACCTGGTTACAACATGAACAGAGTCGAGGAACGGGACGGGACGGCCGCTGACGGCGTCTAATCGCTCCCACATACCCTCTGTCTACTGTCATGACTTGTGCCGTCTTCATGCGATGCCATGCGATCCGGGGCAAGGCGACGTGAGGCGTTTTGATGCCAGTCAGGACACCGGATCTCTGCCGCAGAGGAACGTGTCTGCGGTCACCGGCGGACAATTTTCCAGCCGTACCTTCACTCTGTACAGCCACAATCGATATCATGTTTTGGTCCCCGATGGCCCGATGGCGATGGCGTCGTCATACTGAATCAAAAAGACCCCAGAACCGTTTGACGTTGTTCTCGTTTCCATCGTTGCCCTGTCCTGTCCCGCGTCCGCGTGTCTTATTTGATCTCGGCTGCCGTCTTTTTTCCCAGGCAGGAGAGCTGGCAAGCTGGTTATAGGGTTGGCAGGGCGAGCGGTATGAGAAAGAGCCGTTTCCATCGTCATCGAACTGGGGACGGAAATTGTGGCGTTTCTTGTCTCTCCTCGCTTCCATTCGTTCCAGTGCTCTTGCTTCTTGCTTGCTTGCTGCCCATGTACTGTGCGTCATCAGACCGGCGAGGCACTGTCCCTTTTTCGGCCGCAACACCCCGGGCCAGACAGGCTGGAAGACGCAGGCACACAGGCAGGAACGGCACGGACTGCACAGCAGGCAGGAAGGCACTTTTAGGCATGGGGGGTGGTGTTTTGAGCCCTGCCTGCCTTGCTGCTGATGCCCTGGCCGGACAAGAAGCTGCGCCCGTACTGTACGAATACCGTGACACCAATTGCGCACCTCGTTCAACAACAGTCGACCTGGATCTTGTAATAGACGAAACACCATTGTCTGTCTTCCTATTCATTCTTCCGGTCATGAAGCACGGATGGGGAATCCGTCCGGTGAGTCGTCGCAGCCAGACTGAAGCGCTGAGGTAAGAAGCAGGATGATGTCATTGTTGGTCCAGAGACGGTTCGGTTGGGTCAATAAAAAACGTGCACCTACCACTTTCGTACTCCGGCTCTTCCATTCGTTGAGGCGCCGGCTTACCAGGTATGGAACGTGCCTTCCGCAATCATCGTGAGTTCCATTTGCAGGTGGGGAGGGCGGAGGGCAGGAACGTGGAAACCGCGGACGGGAGCTTACTAACCACATCGGTCTCACCTCACCCATCACATCCATCAGCACCTCATTATTCTTATCAGTGACCTTATCTCCGTCGATTGAACATCAAAAAAGCATCGTCCAACCGGGAAGGTGGCAATCGCATACTATTGTCGTCGTTGTCGATATCGTCTGGCGAGGCGCGTCTCGGGCGCGTCTCACAGGCTGCTATACTTTCTTTTTTTCCTCGTTTTTATCCCGCAAACCTGGTCGATATCAACAAAACAGCCGCCGCCGCGGGAGCATCCACCACCTCGAACCCGGGCGTCACGGGTTGATGACTCGGGTTACCGTTTGACATTGTCGTTTGCCCTGCTCAGCTCGAACCTTAAGTCTAACGACGT